TGTTTCTTTGATGACACAGAGATGCCGAGTTCTGCCCAGCTAATCAACTTTTGTAAGTTTGGATTTACGACACTTTCCATGCGTCCTTGTACCAAAACCCTGCATTTTGCAGGCTCATGTTTGCGCCGCGAATAATCTGCATGATCACTTCACCCTCGCGCTGAGGGGGGGGCGGTGCAACCCCCTAGTTTTTTTTTTTTAGAATGCTTCTTCGGCATATTGTGCACTCACACCAAGTTTTTCAGTAGTCGGTGGGTATCCATTGTGCGTGGTTTTACACCAAAGACGTGTTCCTAGTTTTTCTGGTTTCGGATAAGCGGCGGTTTTTGAGGAACTCCGCAAGGCGATCCGCAGCCAGACAGACGGGCGGGCGGCAACCAACGATGCCGCGGAGCGTGCGCAGCGGGAGACATCGTTACGTTAACGGAGCCATATATTATCAATATATGCTGAAAACAAATTACGATAGATGTACACCATTTAACTCAAAATTGAGCAATAAACGGTCTATTTGAGCTGGTGTCTTAAGATGCACGATAGCGTATGTATTGCGTTGTTAAGCCAAAAAGAGCGATTTGCCGGAAAATCTGGTCTTTGACTTGGCATGACGGGGTCAGTGATTGACCAATAACAAAATAAAAACTCGTACCAATCGTGAGGTTTCGCGTGGACCAATCTACTGGCGTTTTCTGCTAAGCTCTATCTCTATCAATTTGGAAACACCAGTGGGTCACATCGACCCCCGTATCAGTTCGCGTTATGAGAAATGAACCTATTCATGCCTGACCTCTCACTCACTACTTGAGCGGGTGTGTGTAAGCATGCTATTGCTGAGGCTATCTAAAAAAAAAACAGCACGTCCACATTGCATGCTATTCAACTAAAGGGTCTGGACGTGGGTGACAGGTAGGCTGTGCTGCCTAGAGCTGAGATCAGAGAAGCTGGTTGGTAACAGTGTAGGAAAGGTATTGCTCCGGCGCTGATTTGCTAGCCTAAACTGCAGGACTTGCTACTTGGCTGTTTGAACAGTTTCCACCCCTACACCATAATATATATATATATATATATATATATAATATATATATATATATAGATATATATATATAATATATATTGAATCAGCCAAATGGAACTGAACCGGATCTTTGTTGTAAGCCACGTGAGTCATAAGCCAAGTGATTTAACGCAAGCGACGGGCGCAACCTGAGTTGAATCAAAAATTTTGAACGGCTATGAGTCATGAAGTGGATCGGATCCCGCAATCTGTGAGCCGGTCCTGAGTCGGCTGAAAAATTTGAGTCGAGCCCCCCATTCACTACTTGAACTGCTGTCAGGTCATGCCTCCGTGCACAAGGCAAAACCCTACACACGTTTGTAGTGCAGGCGTAACGTTAGGTGCGACCGGCCCGGACGAGGAAGGGGCAACTGAGAATGAGAAGCCTTAACTGAAGATAAAACAAGGTGTGAACGAAACGCTGAACGAAGAATAAATTAAACAGTGTGCGAGGATAAAGCAGCTCAGCTGCAAATACAGCAGTTTGAGGATCAGTGCGCAGTTGACAAAATGCTCCGGTCAGCCGACTCATGCCATTTTTCACTTACTGAACTTTGTGGTCCCCCATCCAGCGATGAAGGCCGTTTTCCTGACCAGATTCAACTCTCGCATCTCAGGAACAATGGGAAGGCAAACAGGATGCACAGCGTCTGAAATCAGAGGTGGGTGGTCGTGAATAGCAATCGTCTAATGTGTGCAGATTTTTGCACGTCGACTTAGCCAATCAATCAAAGCTTGTTACATTGAAACGCTTTATTCTGAGTATTCATGTCGCCCAGTTTCGGAATGCCATTGTTCTGTCTTTGATATCATGCTCCATACACGCGACTCAGCAGGTACTGCGGCGGCAAAGTTCCCACGTTATCATAGCGTGTACGTACAGTTAGCAAAATGCGCAAATTCGTATTGAGAAATATGCGGTACTACTCACGTGCTGACTTCACTAACATTTCCAAGGCACAAGCGTCTGTCAAAGCTGAAACCGTGACCAAAAGTAAATTACCACCCTAAGTCCGTCCTTACGTGCAGCACCTTACCGGTAAGTTTCACACGAGTTCGCAGCTTGATGATGGCAATGTCGTGGAATAAGGTACGATTGTTGTACTCCTGATGAGGGAAGCTGGCCAGGACCGGGTGTTCAACCACGGTGTTCACTTCGGTTTCGTTGAACAAGTCATGGTCTCCGAGCCGGACCGTCTTTCTGAAACGATGGAAGCGCAGAATCCGATTACCATGCTGGATGAGATTACCGAACCACTGGTATCACTTTGAGAGGTGAAAAAGGAATACAGCAGGCGTTTCCGTCGGTCGATTCGTTCTGCTGCTTTCCAAAATAACACGAAAGGAGTTTTGCGTTGCACTGCTGCCAATTGTATGGTCTTCTTGCCGCCTCCGCTCCGGCAATGTGATGTAAACGACCGAAGACGAGTGTCAGGTTTTCTACAAGACAGGCCAATCTTAGCTCCATGACACCACAATCACTCAAGATCAAATACGCGATGTCATGTACACAGTTTGGTTTTAAAAGCCGCTTGGCCACCGGCACCGGTCTAGATGCAGCGAGAGCCAGCATAGAGACGGCGGGGTGTGACCTGGTACCGGGTTTGGCACCGGCACCGATCTAGATGCAGTGAGAGCGGCATAGAGCGGGCAGGGGTTGACTGATGCCGGGTTTGGCACCGGCAACCGGTCTAGATGCAGTGGAGAGCCAGCATAGAGACGGCGGGGCGTTGACTGGTACCGGGTTTGGCACCGGCACCGACTCTAGATGCAGTGAGAGCCAGCAAGAGACGGCGGGGGTTGACTGGTACCGGGTTTGGCACCGGCACCGATCTAGATGCAGCGAGAGCCAGCATAGAGACGGACGGGGTTGACTGGTACCGGGTTTGGCACCGGCACCGATCTAGATGCAGTGAGAGCCGGCTAGAGCGGGCGGGGTTGACTGATACCGGGTCTCTGGCACCGGCACCGGTCTAGATGCAGTGAGAGCCAGCATAGAGGACGGCGGGGTTGACTGGTACCGGGTTTGGCACCGGCACCCGATCTAGATGCAGTGAGAGCCAGCATAGAGACGGCCGGGGTTGACTGGTACCCGGGTTTGGCACCGGCACCGATCTAGATGCAGCGAGAGCCAGCATAGAGACGGCGGGGGTTGACTGGACCGGGTTTGGCACCGGCACCGATCTAGATGCAGTGAGAGCCAGCATAGAGACGGCGGGGGGTTGACTGGTACCGGGTTTTGGCACCGGCACCGGTCTAGATGCAGTGAGAGCCAGCATAGAGACGGCGGGGTTGACTGGTACCGGGTTTGGCACCGGCACCGGTCTAAATGCAGTGAGAGCCAGCATAGAGACGGCGGGGTTGACTGGTACCGGGTTTGGCACCGGCACCGGTCTAGATGCAGTGAGAGCCAGCATAGAGACGGCGGGGTTGACTGGTACCAGGTTTGGCACCAGCGTTTGATGCCATCAGCGCATGTCTGTCATGTCCTGGTGCCGGTAAAGTGCAGACCATGGCAGCCAAGACACTGTGACTGCACCGTCCGGGCTCCATCAGCAGCGGCGTCGGTGCCGCGGCGCCCAAATACTGGGTCTTTAATGCGTCACGTCCTGCTTCAGATCAAGCACGACTGGGGACCGATGAAGATTGCTTCGTAACGGTCTGCGACGCCCCAAATCCGGTGCTTCTGGCCGGTCGGCGGTCTTACAGCTCCGGTTTGATGCAGTGGGCGGCCGTGAGAACGTGCTGGTCTGTGAGCAGGGCTCCTCCACAGAAGAATTCGATCTTGTTCTCCGTAAACTCGTAACCGAGAGCCGCCAGCCATGGCCAGGCGTCTGGAACCGTGCGCGACAAAGTCAGGCGGCTTCCACGAACCCACCAGACATTGGCAAACTGCGGCAAGTGGCGTCAGGAGAAGGCGGAAACAGTACACTCACTTGGGGAGCCTTTGAAGACAATGCCACTGTTAATGCTGTCAAGGTAGGGTGGCACGGGTCTCAAGGCAAAGGCTGAAGGACAACCGAATTTGCTCTCAAGTATTAAATTTCCACACAGCACTCACTAAGGGCTGGGCTCAAAATGGCTTTTCCATTGGGTCATCTTTGTTCAGGCTTGAGAATATTCCGAATGCCTCCACGCAACCCCAAACAAAATTTCGTCTCCCACCTGCGAGTACTTCAGATCGGCCACGTAGAAGCATCAAGTGCCCTTGAGCGTTGCAGTCTCCAATAAAACCACGTGTCCCGCACGTGCAGACATCTCATGCCATTCGCTATCTCAGCTGCGGCTCCTAAGCCGCAACTTAGCATTCGTTTGAAACCAATGCATGGCAATGTTGTGTTCCGTGCAGACCAGCGAGCAACAATGTCGACTGGAGTTTCTCAAAAAAGTTGCTTCATGGTGGTCAGCTTAGGGTAGGAAGGTGGGCAGCGTTGTCGGGAATCGCTAGATGATGATAAGGTTATTCTAACTCGAACTCGAATATCTTTTTCATGCTGTGATCGCTTGAATTCTTGTTCGTGCTAGATTATGGCAAGGACATACGTTATCGGAAATGAGTGATTTTTGACGGACGATTATGCCCTTAACAGTTCACAGATTTTCCGCTGTTCCTGTAACCTTGCATTGGACTAGGCGCACAACCAGAGTCTGGCTTAAGTGCGGGCGGGGTGCGAGGTTGATAGGGTCCACAAACCAAATATCACTGGAAATGGTGGACACGTGGATAGAAATGTAGTTCATTTCGAGGGCACGATTTTCTTTGTTCTATTTTATACCTACCTTCTTTATCTGAAATAGAAGCCAGAATGTACTGGAATACATATGCCATTCTGTTTGGGTTTTGAACGGAATGAACTGAACGAAGGAGGGATTTCAATGGCTCAGTGAACGCTTTCTAAATCGAGAGAAAACGAAACTTTGTCAAATTTTGTATCGGTTACACAGAAGTATTCAAGGACTCCTGCACGATTACTGAGGAATGGTACGAATCTATTTTGAAAGACTTTTGGAGGCATTGTTTCACGACGGTCGTTCCCGCACATCCGACGCCCGCCGCCTGGGGCTATCTGCGGCGGCCAGCACCGTTTGGTTCTACGGAGACTGCAAACCCGACCGTCGCAGCTCTTGCTCCAAGATTGCGAGCGTGCGGGCTCAAAACTCTTTACGTTATTTGTTTCACCAGTCGATTCTACAAAAGGATGGATGCTCTCAGGCAAACTTGGGTGTCCTTCTTTATCTCTGACTTCATTGCGAGTTACTGTTGAACATTAATGAGACCCTCACCTTTTCCCGTCAATGGGGCCATATGCACCAGGGGGCGCATTATCGTTCCCGCCCCCGGGCTGGAGGGCCATTCCCTTCCAGCACCGGATGCCTGTCAGCTGCCATTCTGGCGACACGGGGCGAGGTTTTCTGGTCGTTCCGAAAACCACCAGGGAAATACATCATCATATATTTGTCCCCTCAATGACGCGAGAGGTCGTCCCACCATTGCAGTTGACCCCGGATTGGCCCAGGAGCCGCCATAACACAAGACTCGCCGCAGGCGATTCAATGCCTGTATAGAGACTAGTTTAGCTGGATGGCCCTTTGCTGCAATGGGAGCTGATACAGGCACCCCCGTTGGCTCATCGTGGACTCTAATCATAAGTTATCATATCCCCTTCCATTGTCAGAGGGCCCCAACCAAGGAAGAGGCCCTCTGGCATTCAGGGTCCCGTCCCTGTCTCTGTTTAGCAAATGTTCCCTGAGCTGCTCGGGCTGCGTGCGGACACAGGATCCTGCTTAAATTCGTTGGACCCCTGCCCAACACAGGGGGCCCCTTTTGTTATAGGAGCCCAGACGAATGCAAACTGCGAGCCCTGGTCTTGTCCCTGCTTGGGAAATGGGCCCGCAATGGCTAAGACCGACACAGAGACGAGTGTTTGGTGTTGGCGATCTCTGGCCGAAATAGAGGAGGCCCACATTGTCCCCCAGCGAATCCTCAATCGGTGCAAGAGGCCCTTTGTGTGAAATTTTAGGTGACGGCCCTACGGGCATTGATCGTGAGCGTGGCCTCAGGCAGGGCTTTGGGCCCTTCGAGTTCTTCCATCATTGGCCAGGCCCTTGAGCGTCAGTCCCGAGGGGCTTTTTGGCACCTCTTCAGGCCTACCCTAACGCTGCCCCTGGCTGACTCGGGGCCCGCTGCCAACACTTAATCCCTGCTAGGCACCTTGGGCCGCTGGCCAACACAGGGGACCTCTCATTGGCTTAGGAACCTGACCAATGTCATTCGCGTGCCCCGGGCTTGAACCTGCTTGGGAAATTGACCCTTAGGCCCAGGCCGACACGGAGTCTACTGTTCGGTACGCATGGTGCCTGACCGACGAAAAGACCATCATCAACTCAGAGGAGCCCCGATCGGCACCTAGGACCCCCGACCGACATTTCAGGGCCCTGCCCTATGAGCTGGAGGCCCTTGGTATGACCTCCGGCCAGCCCATTTTTGAGCCTTAAAATTGGGCCCTTAATCGCAGGTCCCGAGGGGCCCTTCGGGCTTTTCTGGGCCTAAGCGGAGAGAGGTACGTGCACCCTGTGCCTGCCGTGCACCCTGTGCCTGTACACCGTACACCCTGTGCCTGCCGCACACCCTGTGCCTGTACACCGTGCACCCTGTGCCTGCCGCACCACTGCATAGATCAAACTCAAGTAAAAATAACGTTCGTTCTCCCTCCAGAGAACCCACCATTATTTAGCACGCGTTTAAGGCACTAGAACGCATCTAAGCCACCGAATGGTCTTCGAGATTGCTAGTTTAGTTCAGAGCTTCATACAAAGGTGGAGCACCCCTTCAAAAACACCAAAGAATCGCTCCTTTAATCGTCAGAGCCGTCGGCGACCACTTACTGGGCTCGGCGATGCGACCGCCGATGATGCGGTTGGCGCTGACGTTCCTGTAGCCGCACGTGTCCAGACCCGGCGGGGCGACCGGCTCGCCCCTGCCGTCCTCCTCCAGTCGGAGACCGTTGGTCTGCCCCGGCTCCGCGCTCCCGGCTCCCGGCTCCCCGGTGGTGTCCCCGGCGCTGGCGGGGGTGGTGGAGTCTACCACGGCAGTGGTGGTGGCGGGCGGCGCGGTGTTCATCTCGGCGGGCGGCGCGGTGGCCTCCGCCTCCACCGCAGCCTCCGTTGTCGAGTCAGCGCCGGCACCAGCCGAGTCGGCGTCCGGCGCCATCGTCTCCGAGGAGGGCTCGGGGGACGCGGACGTTGTGGAGGCGTCCGGCTGGACGGTGCCGGGCACAGCGTCAACCACCTGCACCGGGGCCTCGGTGCCGGTCGGCGGCACCGCGGACTCGTCCTCAGGCTCAGCTGGCGTCGTCGCAGCCGCCTCGGTCGCTGCGGCCGTGCTGGTCTCGACCTCAGCGGGCTCGGTGGGCTTGACCTCGCCGCCCGCGCCGGACTCGGTGGCGGTCTCCGTCCCGCTCCCTGCCGTCGGGCCCGGCTCCGTCGGCGCCGGTGGCGTCGGGCGCGACTCGTCGCCGAGCGAGGGCGGCGCCGCCGTGGTCGCCTCCAGCCGTGGCGGGTCGTGCGGACAGCAGACGATCGCCTGGCCGCCTTTGAAGCGGCAGATCGAGCGCCTCAGGTAGCGCACGCTGCCCGTGGTCAGCGGCAGCAGGGTGCTGGTCAGCGGCCGGCACTCCTGGAACACGCCGCAGCGGCCCAGATGACGGTCGGGGTCCCGGCAGTCGGACTGGCCGTCGCCGCCGCGCAGAAGCACCACGTCGCTGCCGGGCACATTCGCCGGAATTTCAATGAAGGAGGACGATGATGACACGGGCTTGTCGAAGGGCCTGCCGAACACGATGTCTGTGGAGGGGGCTGTGATTAGCGTCTGTGATGACAGAGCTTGTGTACTGGAGTGGTTGTGTGCACGCGTGACAGACACGGTCACACCACTCCGCAGTTAGTCAATGCAAGGAGGAGAAGCAAGCAGCATTATCTGCACACGACTGTTGGAATTGTTCTGGTAACCACGTCGGTGCCTGCGGCCGTTTTGGACTGCCTACTGGAGTGTCCTGAATTGACGCGATTTGGGATAATATTCCATCCTTGGCGCAAGAGGCGGAGCGAACACGCCACATGCCTGCCAAGACTGCAGGATGAGCCCGTGTGACACGTCGTGTGTATCTATTTGGGTAGACCGCTGCCGCAACAAAATGGGGACGTCGCTCGGGTGGTGTCGCTTATAGGACACCGAAAAGTAACGTGGAAATGGAAGTTATTTCATTGTAATGAGGAATGAGAGCCAGACCCTCTTTACCAGAAAAATATCGTTTTGAAACCCGTGTCTAACTTAATCCAAAACGTATTAGGGTGTCTTTATAGTCCTGGTTCAAGCACGCTACTCCTCATTTATACCCATCAGGTACCCATGGCCATAGACACCTCCATCTTCTGGCACGTGCGCTACGGCATAACAATCTTTGAAAATAGCTCACAATGCTATATGCACCACATTCATGCAATGTGATACGTTACTCGACAGCTCACATGTGGCAGGTGCTCACAGTGTCCGTGGTCACCTACACCTGGCAGGCACCGACACAACAGTCTCGACGACGAGGTGCTAAAGTCTCTCTAATCTCTCGCAAAATTATTTTCAGCATCTTTCCGCGTCGCCTCGCCCGATGACTCTTAAGAACAGCGCGAGAAACTCGCTTGGTGACGATCCAGGCGGCGAGTAGGTGCAGCTGTGCGATCCGTTTACCTCGGGTATTAACAATGCGCACAGCACTCCCTGATCTTAACCACGACCGTTAGGTGAATCACACGGGTTCGTTGGGGTTGGCTTCACGGCGGTGACATCCATGACCAGTCGCACCTAATGCACACCGACGCATTCGCCATTGTCGGAGCCGGTGGAACAAACGGGCGGAGCAGCGCAGTTTATCTGCACGCAGGAACAGCGCGGTTTATCCGCACGCAGGAACAGCGCAGTTTATCCGCACGCAGGAACAGCGCAGTTTATCCGCACGCAGGAACAGCGCAGTTTATCTGTACGCAGGAACTCGTACCTAATTCAGGCAGGTCGTGCTCCAATGTTTCTTTCCTGCTGATTGTGCATTGTGACCTTTTTGCGGTATGACCGCGGTGCAAGGCATGCAAATGTCCAAGTGACTTATCTTCCCAGTACCATATCATCGCGAGGTCGTGAATTTGATGGTTTAAACATGGCTGACCCTTTGCCCTCTGACCCTTGACGCATGAACCTTTACGACATGGCCATATGAGGCCAACGTTCAAGTACTTTTGTGCATTTCAGCCCTGTCACCAGAGAAGGATTTAAGCCGCTCCGGGACGTTTCTTGACAGCGCTAGACTATTTTATCCGTACTTCAAAAAAGACGAGTGTCTGGATACCAAGGGTGGATCCAGGATCCCCTAGGGTTGCATTATTTGTGATCATAAGATGGGATCCTGGGATATTTTGGGGGCTCCAGGCAAATGTCTGCTTCTGTATACACACACGCCGTTCGTTCGCCGGGAAATTTCGATCTAATTCTCGTCTCCGCGCACGAGCGTTGCCGCAACGCGAGTGAACTATGTCCAGGCATGCACCTGCAGTACACATCGGTTACAATCGGCACCAGCGGATACGCATCGGAGCGCATGGCCATACATTCCCCAATAGATACAGGTGAACAACTGTTCCCTTGATGGAGCCCGCCCGCTTCCGGCGATAAATCACTGCTCCTCAGTCAGCCAGCAAAAGGTAGCTTTTCAAGATAATCACTGCGGTTTTGACTGGGAAACTCCAGCTTGGTCAGAGTCAGCCTCCACTCTGTCTGTCTGTCTGTCTGTCTGTCTGTCTGTCTGTCTGTCTGTTTGTCTGTCTGTCCGTCTGTCTGGCTGGCTGTATGATGCATGTATGTGTGTATGTCAGTCAGTCAGTCAGTCAGTCAGTCTGTCTGTCTGTCTGTCTGTCTGTCTGTCTGTCTGTCTGTGTCTGTCTGTCTGTCTGTCTGTCTGTCTGTCTGTCTGTCTGTCTGTCTGTCTGTCTGTTTGTCTGTCTGTCTGTCTGTCTCTTGCTCCCTTCCCCTCTTTCTACCCTTCTCCTATGCTCCGTGTCCTCTCTCTCTCTCTCCCCCTCTACCTTCTAATAGCTTCACAGGATGCTTAATCTTCTGTGCAACACTTCAGGATTCACCCGTGCAGTGTGGCAGACCACGGCCGCACGGAGGCCTCCGTGTCTGCCGAGTCATCCCTCACACAGCCCCGACGGACGAAGATGAGCCAGGGCTGGCCCGCAGCGGCCGATCCGGACCGGTCCGTCACACCCCGCGGCCCCTGCTCCGACATGCGGGTAAACCCAACCGGACGCTTCCCCCGCGACCAGCGCGCTGCAGGGGCGGCCGGGGTGGGCGGCGCAGGCACAACGAGACTCACCTTGACCGCAAGCCGGAGCCCAGCTGAGCCCGATGACCATGAGTGTGCAGAGAGCCCGGTGCGCCTGCAGCAGAGGTGTGGTATGGTAGCCGTGCGAAGAAGGCTAACGAGGCCAATTGGACGGTACAATAATGCACCGCGTGAGTGGGGCCGAGTAACACGCGTGGCTTTCTGAGCCATGGCCAATTTATAAACAAACGTTCGCTAATGTTGCACGTCAGCTAAATACATCTAGCAGATTTGCTACATCACATGCAAAGTAATCGGCGATAGTACGCTACAAGGCTTTGCTGCCATGAGCCGATTCAGCCGATATGGCCAGTCGGCTGGCCGGCCAGTACTCCACGTCCCAGAGCTGCAGGCCGGCCAGTACTCCACGTCCAAGAGCTCCAGGCCGGCCAGTACTCCTTGTTCCAAGGCCAAAAGACAGTCAGGGCTCCACGTCCCAGAGCTGCAGGCCGGCCAGAGCTTTAAGTCCCTGAGCTCCAGACCGGTCAGAGCTCCACGTCCCAGAGCTCCAGACCAGTCAGTGTTTCGCGTCCCAAAGCTCCAGGTCAGTCAAAGCCCCACGTCCCTGACGTAAGCGGACCTTTCAACTTCCAGTTCCGGTACGATTCCAATGATAAACGAGATCGCACGATGCGGACGCATGACTAACTTCAAAGGACACGCGAAAATGTGCACGAAACGGCTGAAAAGGTTAGTCATGTCTGCAACACAGGCAGTCAAGCATGACACTATGTAGGTCGCTTGTTCACCGCAGGTGGAGCACATAAGCGAGACACCGACCGCTCGCCCTGCGTGTCGAGGCCTCGCCGCTTCAGCGGAAAGGCTCAGTCCAACCGCAGCCTCCTCCAGCCCCGCCAGCGCGGCCGCATGGTAGCTGAGAGGGGGCGGGGAGGACACAGCTCGAGCCATGTCGGGGAGCCCACCTTCAGTTGCTACTGAGGTCAGACCGCGACGGTCAGCTGCCGAGGTCAGACCCCGACGGTCAGCCCTCGAGGTCAGACCGCAACGGTCAGCCGCCGAGATCAGACCTCGACGGCCAGCTCCCGAGGTCAGACTCCGACGGTCGGCTCCCGAGGTCACACCTCGACGGCCAGCTCCCGAGGTCAGACCCCGATGGTCTGCTTTCGAGGTCAGATTCCGACGGTCGGCTCCCGAGGTCAGACCTCGACGGCCAGCTCCCGGGGTCAGACCCCGATGGTCTGCTTTCGAGGTCAGATTCCGACGGCCGCCGTAGCCCACGTCACATTTCAGCCGCGCGAGGACCAAAGTAGAGCACCTGCCTAGCCTCCAATCCCCACCGAGGAGAGCTTGGGAACCGCAGACGGAGCATAAAGGTCATAACCGGATCGCAAACGAGATGGCTGTGTGGTCAAAAACCACGGATCCCGCCTCGCTGATTGGAATCGCCAGCTGAATGACGAGCGCCGTTACAAGGGGTTCTCAAATACACGGACATGCGAGGTTTACAGGCGGACGTGCTGATCGACTGTCCGTTGTGTATCCCCTTGTTCCTGAGCTAGGCGCCCGCAAATTTGGGCAAACTATTTCGCGCCGCCCAATTTGCAGCCACCGAGAGATTATAGCATCCCAAAACGTCGCATTAATTCCCTCACCCCAAGGCCTTTCCATGCAAACGGTCGCAAGCAGGGCCATTGTAATATTTATGTATTGAGTGCGTTACCAAGAATCGTCGTATCGGCAGACAATAGTTAGTTAACAGCCAGTTAAAGCCGCTGATAGCTTGCCTCGATCACCAAGCACGGTTTGTGATGCACAGCATTACAAACCATACACGTGATGCATAGCATAGCATAGCATATCATACATAGCACGGCGTCACAGAAGCGCTTAGAACGGTGCAACAAGATCCAAAATACGCACACAAAATGATCACCGATATTTCCACACGTATACATTAACCAGCTAACACAGCGGGTTAAAGCATTACAGGCGAGCCAGCTCGTGCACTAGTGGCCACCCTGACACGGCTAGTCAGGCAGCGATTCTGGCGTCATAGAAACGTTCCATGACAATGAAGCGATGACGTATTGAGAAACAAATTTACTTGCCTGTAAAATTGTGTTATCTAGAGCAGTTTTTTCTTGCATATCAAAGCATACCACTGTTTACAAGTGAGCTTTTTCACCATAGCTGATGCTTGTCTCAAGATCTTCCAATGTGGACCGCTCCGTTCATAGGAGATAGAGATTCAGGAGAGAGATAAGTTGCGGGACAAAGCTGCGGGTATCGCTGGAGGTTACCGATACCACCGAGCATTAGCTAACACAGGGATTTGTGCAGGTGCTCTGGTGGGACTCCCACCGGCGCGGCCGTCAAGCCGGCTCGCGGCTCATGGCTGCCGCATGCCCCAGTTGGAACATTTTGAGATTAGGCGGCCCGTGAGGACAGCAAGGTGGAGGTTACTGTTCCCAGAAAATGGCGCTTTGTCCACCAGCCAGCTTGTCAGCTCCGTGCGTCTGTGCAGTAAGCGGCGCATGAAATACGTCGCATGACACACCTGCCGTGTTTTCTATCGTTGGTTCCGGCTTATCGAGAAGATTTTGAACGGGAGCACGTCTAATCATGCATTTGCCTGAACATTGCTGCCATGAACGCACCCTGTCACTAGACCTCCCGGTCCCAAATAAGCAGAGCGTGCATTAAAAACGAATGTCAAGCACCACCGCCAAACTCGTCACGACCAAAATGAGTCAAGCTGCCGCAAATCCCTGCACGATCTGCCTCCGTGAGGTTTACCCGAGCCGTCCGCGAGCATAAACACTGCCTCCATCCAGCTGGGTTTTTCGCCTGTTTACACGACCCGCGGACTGCCACGGGCCCCTACCGGATGACTTACCATGCCGACGGCCGGCTGTGGGAACTGGACTGGACTGCGCCGTGCCGGGGCCGTCTCAGCCGAGTGTGGGGCGGCCGGAGAGCGCAGCGCCGGGGCCGGCGGCGGCGCGGGGTTTCCAGCGGCCGTCGTCACTGCCCCTCCCCCGCCAGCCCACGTCATCCCGAAGGTCGCACGGACGTCCGGACGAGCGGTGGCCGCTGGACCGGCGTCACCAGCTCGCCGCCCGGGCCGCCCCAGCCGCCGCTCGGCTGACGCATACGCGCTCAACCGCAGCCGCATTGTGGACGGACGGCCTACGCACAGACGGCCGGCCGGAGCCGAGGTCACTTCCAGGCTGTCCTGTCGTCGGAAGACAGCACGCTAAAGGCGGAGGGTAAGATGGGGAGACCGCGCAGGCGGCCGGCCGCGGTCGAGGTCACTTGCAGGCTGTTCTGTCGTCGGAAGACGGCACGCTGGACGGATGACCTACGCACAGGCGGCCGGCCGAGGCCGAGGTCACTTGCAGGCTGTCCTACCGTCGGAAGACAGCACGCTAAAAGCGGAGGGTAAGATGGGGAGACTTGGTCCGCCTGTGAAGTGCGACACTCCGAATGATTTGCGCTTCTGGAAGCTGCTTCCAGCTCTCATTGTAGTGCGTGATGCACACGGCGTGTAGCGCGTGTGTTGGATACGTCCATATGTCCCAAACCCGAACTTAAATAGTAGGCGTTTGGCAGCGCAAGTGTGGGATTCACAAAGTCCTCATAACCACCGTCACAATGCAGCTTATGTTCAATTGAGAACGTGTGACATTCGTCATTGGGGTTGCGCTACGGGTAAAACGGCACACAAGTGAAATTATGCGCAACCAACGCACTCCAAATGTTGCTTTTGGTTACAGTGGTCGTTTACCGCTTCGGATTACGTCATACCATAGATAGATGTGGTTTTCTAGGAGCCAATAGTTCGGATCCATCTCTGTCAACCGATGGTTTGGATTCACCTTTTGGTAACCGATAGTGCTTTGAAACAAGCATAGGTCCACTGCAAGGCATCGTTTATCTAGTTAACGTTTACGAGACATGGTTTTGTTTCAGCCCGGCGCTCACACTTGACGGCTCCAGTATCCGGAGAACAAAGATACTGGGATCGATACCCCAAGCACGCTGGCCTGGCTCGTAAGTCCCCAGCTGCTGACCACGGCAGCTCGATGCTGGGTACAAGTCTGTTTCACTTTTCATAGACACTTTCCATAGACAGGCTGTTCGAGGTCGCCGGCGGTTAGACCGTTTTCACATAGCTGGACCATGCCAAAGCTCACATGGGAGTTCGGCCAAACTTAGAGCTCATACGCAGTCAAGCACAAACAGCACATCTAGAAAAGATATATGAAATTTTGTCCATTGCATAGTATGATTTTGGGAACTCACGGAACGAGAAAGCGTCATTTTCGGCCGTCTGGTAATGGTGGTCTATAGTGATAAAATACTAAATCATCCGTTGACATGTTTTTGGACCCAAATGTGGAGCAAAGATGTCTGCAATGGCACACAAAACAACAGGCTTCTGTAGTTCCAACCTGGTTAGCCCAAGCCCGTAATGGGTGCACAGCACAGCGCACACTTGGTCCCGGATGGCCAGGTGTATGCACTGGATCACACGCTTACGTAAATGAGGGGAGAGCGGGGTGAGTTGTACATGTGTACGGTAGAGTATGTACGGTAGAGTATCCAACAAGCATCAGAGCGTTTTGCTCTAAATCTACGAAATGAAAGGTACTCTTGAGTCGCTCAGCTGACGCACAGCGCCCCCCCCCCCCCCCACATTCCTCTGTTCTTCAGGCTGCGCGCCTGCATGCGACATGGGGTGAACACGTCAAATACTTTTTTTGCACATCGTGGAAAACTCTAGCGATGGGCGTACATGTATATTTAAGTTCTCATGTCATCACCAGGCTGATCTTATTGTTATACTAAAAAGTCGAGAAGTGCGTATGCCGCAAATGCCGCAAAGCATTTGGCATCTGCTGGCCAAGGGTTTCGGGGTGGCGTGGAGATGTCGGGCGGTACACGTTGTTTCAGCTGTGCATGGGGCATGCTGTATCAGTGATACAATGCATCCAGAGCGATGCTTCTGGTTGATTGACTGTCAATACCGTCATTGGCTGATGGAAGGTCAACTGTTAACGTGAGTTTCTGCTATCGCTATCACTTCATGACGATGATGCTAGGCATAAGCTTTAGACCGCATGAAGGCACCATTATCATCACATTACAATGACGCATTATGGATGGAGATCGAAATAACAATTAGCCAGCGGTGACGTAGCGCGGGGTCGAGGGTACTTGTGCCGGCATTAATACACGTGTGGAATAAGGCTCCGACAATCGTCCCCGTCCGGTGCGTTAGCACATACAAACGCTCCGTCTCCCGGCCGTTATCAAAAGTTGGGAGTCCGGAGAAGACAAGATAGTGTGTGATTTGCAACCACGCATGCGTCCCAACTCTTCTCCTCGGAATTCCCGGGATTTGAGCAGAGGTCTTCTGATTACGAGCCCAGAGGTCTACCATTGTGCTAACCTAAGACTTATTGGTTGACTAACTTTATTCTGCTCAATGAATTGGTTGAAATGTTGTGCAGGTACTGACACACTATGCGAAGACGATAATCCGAAATTATTTCATCCGTGATCTAATACCACTCCTCAGCCTTTCTGAAAACCATCAATAAACGTGTTCTATGCTATTGTGCTTCAATGGTGTAAACACGCGGCCGGGCGGAAGGTTGAATATCCTTCGCCCGGGTGGAGGCGGCAGCGGGGGGCGGGCGCAATTTGACCTTCTGGGATCCCAAAGTTAAGCATGGCTTGACGCACCCAATTCACACGGTGGATTGGCCTGCATTTGAACTTACTTGTGCCAAAATTTGAGGTTACTAGGTCATGACCTTGCGGCCAAATAAGGTTAAACAACATCAAACACCAGATCGGTGTCTCAAATCCCCAGACCTCTTCATACAGTGACATGGCGTGCAAGGTCAATTAAGTGTTGAATTGTGTGGTGTTGTGTGGTGTGGTGTTGAATTAAGATAAGCGATCTTGTGTAATATTTTTAAGGTCAATATGACCAAAAACCTGCAAGACCGCTTCTTTACTGCCATCCAGAAAAGCGTCAGGGGTTACGCTAAGTAACAAAATGTTGTCCCGGGCCATTTTAGGTCAGTGACCTGCTCTGACCTTGAAGTCCACAGGACATGTCTGTTGTCGTCCTTGTCATGAATAAATTCGAAATGAGCATCAGAAACTACCATACAAACCAAGTTCTCGAGTAAAAAGGCAGGCCGGTTTTCACCTCGGTCTGATCTTCATATCTGACCCTAGATCAATGGAGTTTGCTGTAATTATGAATTCACTTGGTTGTTTGACTAAGAAACTATTTCTCATGTGCATGGCTTCGTCTAGCGCTCCGCTGTTGCATCACATTGTACGGTTCCAGAGCAATGCCCTTCGTTGACAGCCGTGGCCTGACTGACCTGCCATAGGTCAGCGACCTTACAAGATGGTCTCATTTTTGCATCAAAAGAACCGCTATTCGATTCTTTACAGCTATGCAAACTTTGGCGAGGGTACCCTGCGCCGTCCAGAAATCTTCCTGGAAAAAGCTTCGCGGGTCAAACTGACCACTTATTGACCGCGCTCGTAAACACACATCGAACAGTCAAGACGAATAAGCTCCCGAGGTAAGGCACCTATGGTAGTATAAATGCACCATTTTGACATGATCTGGGCGTCGAGGCAACATGGCCAAGCGAAATGAACATAAGATAGCCTCAATGTGTCTTCAGAGGCTTTAAAACAGGGAAGAAGCTGATGCAATTCGTTGGGACCTTACGCCAGAAACACCACGAACGCGGGAAGGCAAAATATCCCAATTCCTCGTATTCGCGGACTAAGCGTCCGCAATAATGTCCCGGCAGATGCTGCTTCGAAAGCCTTTACGTGCGAGCGGCCTGCAGCAGTACAGCATGATAAAAGTCGCACATACGGCTCAGGTAATCGTTCCTTACAAGAGAGCAAATGTGGCGCGTCTCTGATTGTCACCCACGCGCGTAGCTGATGGAACCGTTTGCGCCGTCACCTCTGCGTGACGACCGGGGCGATTAGGCCCCCTTTGGCGGGAGTCCCAGTCGGACCTCATGGGCTGACCGCGATGCCTTCAACTATCCGGTCAAACGGTCATTGGGTTCACCTTCAGATGCATCTTCAGTCAAAAGACGGCGAACGTGGCAGTACACGCCACGGGTAGTAAAACCGCCAGCTTTACGTACTGTCCCATAGCCACGGCATGCCAATAACCGTGTGCTTAATTCTTTGTGACTAGCAAGCCACGAAACTACAGGCACAGCTGCTAGCCGTGGTCAAATCACGCTCTTTCTAGCCGGGCCCGAGACAGACGGTACTCCATACACACGTGCAATAGAGGTCACTGCCCACTGCGGTTCACGCCAGTAAACCAGCAGAAGGGGGACATCTGAGGAAAATGACCTTCGGAAACCCTCGCTGAGCGGGCCAGGCTTCCCTCGGCAACAGATCCGTCGCACAAACACTGTCCCATGGCACGGGTTCTTTATCACAAACGACACGACCAACTGCACCGACGCCAGCGCCGCGGCAGCACGGCCGGGGCGGGGACACGCGACGACCGGACCACGCCGAACGGGACGCGGTCTGCGCACACGCGCGGCCGGCGCGCGGCGGGGCGCGGCTGTGACACGAGGCAGCAGCGACAGCGAGCATGGCACGGCACAAAAGCTATGGCGGGCGCCAGCGAGGCGCAGCGGCCTCCCGGCGGTGCGGGCCGGGCCTGTGACAGCGTGTGGCGCGATACTGGCTATGGCGGCGTGCGGCGAGGGACTCGACGTCTGACGAGGAACTCGACGTCCGGCAAGGGACTCGACGCCCGGCGAGCGGCTGCGCAGCGCGGCGACAAGCAGCTACGGCGCGGCGGCATGCACCAATCGAGTGGCGTGGTTCACCCCGTGTTTGGCCGGTGAGAATGCGGCTTCAGGTGAGCACGGGTGGCGACGGGCTGGACGGCACGTGCGGCCATTGGGACGTTTTCACTGCATAGCAACCTTGGTACTGTACGGCACTTAATGTGACAGAAAACCGCACATCTAGCAGACCGGGGAATGGGCAACCTCCGTCGGAAAAATCGTGACCTGTGTACTTTATCTGGAAACGTCGTGATGTCGGCTGTAGTTAAACCGCACCGCCGACAGCACGATGAGAGTTGTGACACGGAACTAATAGCTAAATCTGGACTACAAATATAGGGAAAGGGACCGGCATCAACTTCGACGCAGCGCTTGGCGAGAGCAACGGGTCACCATTACGACAACGGGAGTAACCGGACTGGCCTGTGCCGTTGGGTTTGAGCTGTGCCAGAGCGTGAGAGGCATGACGAAGCGCGTCAGCGTTGGCCAGGATGTGTGACTCACCGCGTGCCGGGCGCGACGGGCGGTCTCGTGCGGGCAAGCCGAGGCGCGCACACACACACACACACACACACACACACGGCGGGCGGTTCGACACGACACCGAACAGCTCTAGCCTAGTCACCTACGGCCGCGAGCGGACCACACCGACGACAAGGACCCACGACGCACGGCAGACTAGCGACAAGCGACCGCCGGCGCTAACATTGCACGACATTGAACGACACCGCGGCGGCGGCGGCGCCGCGCGCGGCCGCCACCCGCAAACTGCAGCCGCAACAACATCAACTCAGATACAACAGTCAACTAAGCAAGACATCTTGTGACATGCTGAGTGGTAAATAGTAAAATAGATTCGAGGTTAACGAGACGATTCGTTAGCGCAACTTGTACCCAGTAGGCTAAGGTGGCCGAAGCCACACTGATGCGCGCTCTCCCCGCCCTGCCCTCCCAACAACAGCTCTTTGTACCAGTCTAACATCATTCGTTCGGGCCCAACATTGGTCCATAAACAGCTCAGTAACGTGCGCCAGAACAATAAACACCAAGCGTGGCGCTGACCACACCAACGTCTAAAACAACAAAAAATAAATATAAATACGCGCCGGACGGCGATAGGCTCCTCCGTCCTGCATACGCGGCGACTAGCGCCCCGGGCTGGGGCTCGACCGGCGGGCGGCCGCGGTACCTACAGCAGACCGCACTGCCAGCACCGCTCTGCCTGCGTCCGTGGTCGCTCCTCTACCTTTTGTACTCTAGCCTTCCCAGGGCACACGACTGCGCCGGCGGCCGTGTCGACCACCGAGCCGTTGGCGACCGGCACGCCCCCACCTTCCCCGCCGACGGGCGGCAGCGGCGGCGGCGGCGCCGGCGCCGCGTCCGCCGCCGCGTCCTCCACGTCCGGCTCGTCCACCTCCTCGAACCAGTCCTCGTCGGAGGAGCTGTGGTGCGACTGCAGCCGCTCGTACAGCTCGAGGCGCAGGCGGCTCTGTTTGCTGCGCAGCGGCGGCGGCGGCGGCGGCGTTTCGCCCCCCAGCGAGCAGTAGCGCCGGCGGCCGGTCTCGGCGGCGGCCGGCGAGTCGGGCCGCAGCGGCAGCGAGGCGGCCTTCTCGGCGGCCGGCAGCGGGCGGCGCGCTGCCGGCCCGCCGGCGCCGCACGGACGGCCCGGCGCGCAGCAGACGACGCGCGCGCCGACGCGCAGCCGCAGCTGCAGCAGGATCGGCTGCGGGCCATTAGGCAGACGTCAGCGGACCGAGCACCGCGCCGAACACGGCCACGTGCAGACACACCTCGCCAAGTGTACACAACGTCAGCAGATTTTCATACTAGCACGCCAGGAACATGCAAGCGAAGTGGCGTCGTGGTGTGGTTTGTGTTCTTGGCACCCCCACAGAACTTTTCTCCTTGGGACGGGCACCACCGGACTTATTCCCTACGGAAAGCCACCAAAAGCTGCGCGTAGCGAACAATACAGAAGGATCACGGATGGACTGACTGTTCGAACTATCGTCCTCGTCTGCTGAGTTGATATGCGCACTCAGCTGGTGCGTTCGTGTAAATCCTAACACACCAGGCGAGGACAACAGTCCCAGCAATTAGTCTATACAGTACGGGCAGGGGACGATACCAATCACGCGACATCTTCAGAGGACCTGCGTCCCTACAATCCCGACGACATTGGCGACAGCTGTATGGCATCGACAAGCTGGTCGACGACAACCACTGCAATACTGACAGTTTTTTTTTTAACGGCAAAAGCGGGCGCAGGGTTTCACAATGCCAGGGCGCAAATACATGTTTTCATTCAGCCGGGGCTGCGGCTAGAGACGAAGCAGTACCTACACGTTATGTCATCTCTCTAAGAGCAGCAAGTCGCTTGCCGAAAAGCACCGTGCCTCAAGTCACACTCACATACACGCACAACCACACACCCACACATACAGAAATGTGGCGGGTGAAAACCACGTGCGTTGTCTTGTGTGCCAGCTGTGGATCGTCGCGGACGAAAGCTAAGCGGGGTAGGGCTATCTACACAGGCGCATTGCTACACAAAACCAATCAGGCGCGGGGAGGACGGTAAAAAAACATCCATGAGAATGCATACTTCAAACCACATTAAAGAAAGAAAACGCGTTAACATGAATCATGTGACAGTCGCTAGTACAACACCAAGAAATTCCCAAAATACTTGGGCGCAAGGCAGACGTTTAATTACTGAGAAAATGCTCCGATGCCACAGAACTAAGTCTACCACAGAAAAGGGAAGGGCACACCGAGCAAGCACAGAAGCGGACAAAACCAGCAAACTGTACAAACGTTTGTGCCCAGGATACCTTGCATTACTTCAGGTTGAATGCCAGGTAAATGGGCTGCAGAAGGGCACACCAAACCATCGGTTACTGACGTGGCTGGTTCGGCAGCGCGAGCCCCCGCTGCCGTTTGGCATCCTCCGACCTCACGATGGCGCAATGTCGGACCAAATTGGACACCACGTAAAGGGCCAGACACATTAACGCCGGGTATCAGTCATGAGAGTAAAGTACAATATAGGGACTGAAAACTGTTGTACTGTTATATACTGTACGCTGTAACTTACGCTGGCAGCATGAGAGCTTTGTGTCATTAAGCTGGGGCGGACAACCAATCGGTTGGCTTCCAACGCCCGAGCTTATTGGAAACAAATGCTGGGAGATTATCACAAAGGCGGTTCTGCCCTCTAACCTGCAGTCCATGGGTGGCAGAAAGAATCGTGTATGGAGACAGAGAGCGGCAATCGGACAGCGATGATCACAACAGGTGCCTCGATAACAGACCCGAGCACGTGCCGCCTACATCAGCCCACTACAGCAAAACGCTGGATGGCAGGAGGACGCTGACATACACCAATGTTCACAAAGCTAGACGAATCAGAGAAACCAACGAGCGTGTTCGGCCGCCATGTTGCGGGGATGAGTGTGTTTTGGGCGAGGCCGGAGTTCCTATTGGTTCGGCCCAATGATTCTGAAAGAGTTCGCCTTTGGGAAGATGACCTGAAACACTTGAGCTAAGTTTTAGTTGTGGTAACATGCTCTGGAACGTTATCAGGTCGCATGCATGTGCGTTGGCAGATGTCATAAACAGATTTGACAATGAGGTGAGACGGTACGAATGTCTTCGCGCGGAATGGAGAAAGCACTAAGTAAAATTGAATAGTGCTGTCAGTATTATTTCTATATATATATATATATATATATATATATATATATATATATATATATACATGTATTCATGATAGCTGCTCATACAACACGAATGCACCCATAATTCCACCAAAAGGGCTGAGCGTTTCCCCACATACCTCGCAACGTGCAGCGAGAATGAAAAAAACCCTAGATGTCATAAGACAACGGAGTTCCCGTTACGTGACTTCCTCCACCAGTGAGGACTCGCAAACAAAGAACCGACGGTGGTGGTGGACACGACCATTCGTCAGACGCCATCGAGCATCACCACTCGGGATCTTAAATGACTTTCGATTCATCCCGCATGTCGGTGGGCCCACGCGCATTACTGCCATCACGCTGCTCAATATCTGCCGACGCTAACGGCCACTGGGATCCATCGCCCTGTGCGATCTGCTCGTCTTATGACGGCACGGGTCACGCCACGCGACCGGGCCGCAGGTCGGTCCCGCGCAAACGCACGCCCCCGAAGCCACCGCCGCGCGGCCTGCCACCCGCCCGCCGCGGGCTACGTGTGATCGGTCGCATCCATACCACTCGGCAGAAGTTCACCTGGCCCATCGCGACAGGCAGACACCCCATCTCCCACCACCGCGAGCCAGCGCAGCCAGCGCAACCCCACCCGCCACCAGCCTCTGCCCAGTGGCGAACACCCACCTTGTGGTCTCCCATACACCGGTCCCTGCCGACCATGCCGTACGTCACGTCACAGGGCTCCTCCTGGCGATGGAGAGCCCGGTCAGCAGGCGACGGCGGCGCGCCAGCCGCCACGGCCGCCCAGCACGGCAGCGTATTGAACACCACGCCCGCACGGGGGTGACTTTCAGCAGGGTGCGGTGCCACGGGGCCACACACATGCGTGCGTTGTGGCAGCGTGATGTTCGTGTGGTGCATGCGATCGCATCCCTCATGAGCAAAATGGCCTTCACGTTCTTTCAGCCTGAAATGTCCCTTCATGACAGCAGACGGGGTCACGTTGCCAAGGCGACCTCTGGCCCAGGAGACCGACGCCAAACGTGGTCCAACGGGATCATGTTGCCAAGGCGACCTCTGGCCCAGGAGACCGACGCCAAACGCGGTCCAAACGCGAGGGTCACCTCAATTCATCGCGAGTTCCCCCCCCCCCCCCTCAACCATAGTCACCTTGTGGGTGATGTCTAGCACCGGCTGGCTCATGACAAGATCATCCTCAGTGTACGCCGGGCGTGCTCACCGCCGCCCCCTGCCCCGCACCACCGCCCACCTGGTCAATGATCTCCAGCGCCGACTGGCTCATGACAAGGCCATCCCCAGTGCACGCCGGGCGTCCTCACCGCCGCCCACCTGGTGAATGAGCTCCAGCGCCGTCTGGCTCATGACAAGGCCATCCCAAGTGTACGCCGGGCGTCCTCACCGCCGCCCCCTGCCCCGCACCGCCGCCCACCTGGTGAATGATCTCCAGCGCCGACTGGCTCATGACAAGGCCATCCCCAGTGTACGCCGGGCGTCCTCACCTCACAGGGAGGGGCTCCCTGCCCCGCACCACCGCCCACCTGGTGAATGATCTCCAGCGCCGACTTGCTCATAACAATGCGGTCGCACCAGGAGGGGCAGCGCGTCTTCATCAGGTACTGCGAGCGCTGCACGTTCTCCTCGAACGGGTACGACGGCGGGAACTCGATGGGAAACTCGTGCAGTCGGTCTTGAAACTCGTCCAGCTCGCGGTCGAAGCTACGCAGCTGAGGGGATCGGCAGGGACCGTGAGAAGGCGGCCACTGCGCAGTACCGCACCGGGCTCAGGCGCTGCCGTTGGAAAGACTGGCGCGCGGCGCGAGCTGCGATCTCGTGATTCGCCAACGCATACGACAGCAGAGAGTTCACCCGTTCGTGAGCACAACCGGCGCTGAGGGCTGTCGCCGACCTGCGTACCCATGATATGTCCTGCAGGAAGGTGTCCTGGTGTGTCGAGTGGAAGAACTCCTTCTTGCCCACCCGCAGCACGACCGTCTCCGTATCGTCGTGGAACTCCACCATCTCCAGGTCCGCCTTGGCTAGAGGCTTCAGGTCCTTCGTCAGGTGCTGCCGCGACAGACGGCCGCGTCAGGGGGATCCGCGGACCCAACAAGTCCGACGGGCGTAGGGGGCAGCGAGGGGACGGCAGCCACCGATTCGCGAAGAGCACGGCTGGCTCACGAGACAAATATATGTTTCAGGCAAGGAAATCCTTACCACCACTTGGCCAGTATCAAAACCAGCACCACCAGAAACAGAGCTTCCCGGAAATAACGATGACACACTAGGATTAAAAGCGCAAGGTAAAACCGGGACAGGGAGCCATGCTGCTGTGGTGACAAAGCAATCTCAGATCACCCCTTCAGGTCCGCTGCGCCCCGGGACACGCCTTGGGGAGTGCCGCGTGATGCGGATTAGTGCACACTGTCCGCACACGTCTCAAACTACTCCGCCCCAGCACGTGCCGCTCATCACCTTCACGACACCGTGTGTATTGACTCGGAAGTTGAAGTCGCCGAAGATGAAAAAGGGCACGTTGCTGTGCTTGTCGCCATGGAAACGGTCCAGGGTGTGCTGCAGGGCACGCCGCCGGTTCTCGCAGTACGGCGACGGGGACTGCGAGCACACGATCGGAGTTGGTCGCGAGCATCCCAGTGACAACATCTGGCTGTTGTGGTTCTGGGTTTGCAGGCAACATACAATGTCCTTCTAAGCCATCACAGCGCTGGTCTAGTAACGGAGAAGCACGCATAAGACGATTGTTTTGCTACCATTATAATGAACAAACGAGGTTATCGACACCACACTGACCGTCTTCGACAGTAAAACACTTGCCGAACACAACAGCCTTATTACTATGACAACAGGTGCCCTGAGGACGCTGCCCCTGACCAGCCAGCTGACTGCGAATACTCAGGCACAACAGCCACATTACTATGACAACAGGTGCCCTGAGGACGCTGCCCCTGACCAGCCAGCTGACTGCGAATACTCAGGCACAACAGCCACATTACTATGACAACAGGTGCCCTGAGGACGCTGCCCCTGACCAGCCAGCTGACTGCGAATACTCAGGCACAACAGCCACATTACTATGACAACAGGTGCCCTGAGGACGCTGCCCCTGACCAGCCAGCTGACTGCGAATACTCAGGCACAACAGCCACATTACTATGACAACAGGTGCCCTGAGGACGCTGCCCCTGACCAGCCAGCTGACTGCGAATACTCAGGCACAACAGCCACATTACTATGACAACAGGTGCCCTGAGAACGCTGCCCCTGACCAGCCAGCTGACTGCGAATACTCAGGCACAACAGCCACATTACTATGACAACAGGTGCCCTGAGGACGCTGCCCCTGACCAGCCAGCTGACTGCGAATACTCAGGCACAACAGCCACATTACTATGACAACAGGTGCCCTGAGGACGCTGCCCCTGACCAGCCAGCTGACTGCGAATACTCAGGCACAACAGCCACATTACTATGACAACAGGTGCCCTGAGGACGCTGCCCCTGACCAGCCAGCTGACTGCGAATACTCAGGCACAACAGCCACATTACTATGACAACAGGTGCCCTGAGGACGCTGCCCCTGACCAGCCAGCTGACTGCGAATACTCAGGCACAACAGCCACATTACTATGACAACAGGTGCCCTGAGAACGCTGCCCCTGACCAGCCAGCTGACTGCGAATACTCAGGCACAACAGCCACATTACTATGACAACAGGTGCCCTGAGGACGCTGCCCCTGACCAGCCAGCTGACTGCGAATACTCAGGCACAACAGCCACATTACTATGACAACAGGTGCCCTGAGGACGCTGCCCTTGACCAGCCAGCTGACTGCGAATACTCAGGCACAACAGCCACATTACTATGACAACAGGTGCCCTGAGGACGCTGCCCCTGACCAGCCAGCTGACTGCGAATACTCAGGCACAACAGCCACATTACTATGACAACAGGTGCCCTGAGGACGCTGCCCCTGACCAGCCAGCTGACTGCGAATACTCAGGCACAACAGCCACATTACTATGACAACAGGTGCCCTGAGGACGCTGCCCCTGACCAGCCAGCTGACTGCGAATACTCAGGCACAACAGCCACATTACTATGACAACAGGTGCCCTGAGGACGCTGCCCCTGACCAGCCAGCTGACTGCGAATACTCAGGCACAACAGCCACATTACTATGACAACAGGTGCCCTGAGGACGCTGCCCCTGACCAGCCAGCTGACTGCGAATACTCAGGCACAACAGCCACATTACTATGACAACAGGTGCCCTGAGAACGCTGCCCCTGACCAGCCAGCTGACTGCGAATACTCAGGCACAACAGCCACATTACTATGACAACAGGTGCCCTGAGGACGCTGCCCCTGACCAGCCAGCTGACTGCGAATACTCAGGCACAACAGCCACATTACTATGACAACAGGTGCCCTGAGGACGCTGCCCCTGACCAGCCAGCTGACTGCGAATACTCAGGCACAACAGCCACATTACTATGACAACAGGTGCCCTGAGGACGCTGCCCCTGACCAGCCAGCTGACTGCGAATACTCAGGCACAACAGCCACATTACTATGACAACAGGTGCCCTGAGGACGCTGCCCCTGACCAGCCAGCTGACTGCGAATACTCAGGCCAAACTATTACCAGCGCATAACCCGGCCGCAACGGCCTGACAAGCCGACGAGTACTTCCAAGTCTTATTAGCCGACAGGAATGACACCAAACAACGAGCCACATCGTCAGGGTGCCAGACTGGCGGCGGCCGCCTCTAACAGGAGGGCAGCCCGAGCCTTCGGTGGCGCGACCGAGTCACGCCTGCCGGCCGTCTCACCGCTTCGATGGCGATCATGTTACAGGCGTCGTGGAAGAGATGGATGTTGACGAGGTCCAGCTCCGTGCCGCGGATCTCCCAGCGCGTGCGCAGGTAGCCCTTGCGGGACCACTTGCAGTTGGGGAAGTACTCCAGTGGGAACTTGTCCTTGTCGGCCACGGCAACGCCGGCGAGGTGGCCGCTGTACACCTCGTGGTCCTCCACCGGCCGATAGGCCTCCTCTGCAGCCGCACCGACATCGGTCAGCCGTGAGCTTTGCTGCCTTCTAAACGGGCGTGCGGAATGCGGCCCGTCACCGGTGTGCCGACCGCATTCCTCGCCTATAACAGCACAGCTGGTATGATCAGCGCATAGCGGCACTTCACCCACGCGAGGAGAGCGTCACTTAGTTCCCACCTGCAACCAGTTTCACCAAGAGAGAAAGGCGTACAATTTTGACGTCATGAGTAGCGTCCCAAGGTTCCACTGCGAATCAGGTTGCATCCAGTAAGGACTAACCATGTAAAACTCTCTACTCACTCATACGCCGGCAAAATTCCACTATTTATGGGGAAATTTGAAGTATGATGATTAGGATTTCAGGGCGCGCCTACTTTTGAGGTCGTTTTGCGTCTAGGGAAATTTGAAGCAGGGAGTCTGTCCGTACTTCATCAGGCATCTATCGGGTTTCATAAACGCCAATGAAATGATCTGTGGAGTAAAAATTCACTTCGAAACTGACGTTAACTAAAAAGGATGCGCTGCTTCATCGTAAAATCAGCAGTGGTGACCACGGGGAAGCCGGCGTATGAACATGCAGGGGGTGGGGAAGCAAAACAATTAGACCGAGAATCAGTCTGCGGGGGAAAATGTTGAGATATGAAGCGATATCAATATAGCAAGCTGTCATAGCTCTATCTCACATCCGCAAATTTTACCAATAATTTTTTCATCCTTGCTATGACATGGACAGACATGATGCAAGTTCACAGATGCAAACCTAGTGCAACGATCACCATTTTAAATCGGCTATTTTAGCGAGCTTTTGTCGTTCAAGCGCATGTTGCCCGCACACGTAGTACAGGGAAACTCAGGACATGACCAAACGAACCAAACAGCTTTTACTTTACTTCTGTGAGTGGCGGAACAATCCCGAGAAATATAGGATGCCTCCGTTTCATCGAGATAGGTAAGTTATCATCATTACTCTACAAATAAATCGTCATAAAAATTATGGATTGATTATTGTGTTAAACCACAAACAAAAACACCTTGAATGCCATTTTGGCGATACTTCTTTACAAGTTATGAACATTCAAAACACTGGGGTCCAAAAAGACAACACAGCCACTATGGCAACAAACGCTGTTATCGTCATTGAAATTTCTTCATCCTCAGCATTTTGCGATTTACTTCGGACGGGTACTGTCAAATTTTTTAGTGTTCATTGGGGTTTTCGGGCGCACCGACTGAGGTGGTCATATAGCTACCAATCTGAAACCGGCGCGGGAAGCCGGGAATAACGCCAAAATTTCTTGGGCCAGCCAGAAAAAAGAAGTTACTTCTCTTTATAAAGCTGTTTACAGGTCAGATAGAGCGCTGCTTTGAATGAGCCTTGCGTCTGGGCACGCAGTACCGTATAAAGGTCGGCGCCCCACCGCCAGGAGACGCACGTCGTGCCGGTCCGTGGAGCGTACCACACGCCGCAGCGCCTGTAACCGTGCTGGCCACCGACCCCGCACAGCCCTACGGTCCCGGCGTCCAGAGACAGGCCCCGGCAGCGGGCTGAGGCTCCGCTCGGCAGCCGCTGTGGCCAGCGGCTTACCGACCCCGCACGGCCCCACGGTCCCGGCGTCCAGAGACAGGCCCCGGCAGCGGGCTGAGGCTCCGCTCGGCAGCCGCTGTGGCCAGCGGCTTACCGACCCCGCACGGCCCTACGGTCCCGGCGTCAAGAGACAGGCCCCGGCAGCGGGCTGAGGCTCTGCTCGGCGGCCGCTGTGGCCAGCGGCTTACCGACCCCGCACGGCCCTACGGTCCCGGCGTCCAGAGACAGGCCCCGGCAGCGGACTGAGGCTCCGCTCGGCGGCCGCTGTGGCCAGCGGCTTACCGACCCCGCAAGGCCCTACGGTCCCGGCGTCCAGAGACAGACCCCGGCAGCGGGCTGAGGCTCCGCTCGGCGGCCGCTGTGGCCAGCGGCTTACCGACCCCGCACGGCCCTACGGTCCCGGCGTCCAGAGACAGGCCCCGGCAGCGGGCTGAGGCTCCGCTCGGCGGCCGCTGTGGCCAGCGGCTTACCGACCCCGCACGGCCCTACGGTCCCGGCGTCCACAGACAGGCCCCGGCAGCGGGCTGAGGCTCCGCTCGGCGGCCGCTGTGGCCAGCAGCTTACTGACCCCGCATGGCCCTACGGTCCCGGCGTCCACAGACAGGCCCCGGCAGCGGGCTGAGGCTCCGCTCGGCGGCCGCTGTGGCCAGCGGCTTAGCGACCCCGCACGGCCCTACGGTCCCGGCATCCAGGGACAGACCCCGGCAGCGGGCTGAGACTCTGCTCGGCGGCCGCTGTGGCCAGCGGCTTACCGACCCCGCACGGCCCTACGGTCCCGGCGTCCAGAGACAGGCCCCGGCAGCGGGCTGAGGCTCCGCTCGGCGGCCGCCGTGGCCCGCAGCTCACCGCGCCAGTCCCAGAGCCGGACGGCCTGCAGTCGGCGGCTGACCAGGTACAGGTTGCCCAGCGCCGTGAAGCTGGCCGCCCGGTTAAAGTCCTCGTCCAGCAGGATGACGGCCCGGTCGAACTGGCCGTCGATCTCCGGGCTGGCCAGCACGTCCCTGCCAGCCGAGCGCGCGCCGCACACGTCTCACAATCCGCCACGTATAGATCTTGGCATGCTCCTCAGATATGCACCAAATCTCCACCATAAGAGCAGCGAAATGACACTGAGGGATAACAACTAAAGTCCGCCAAACATGCGGCATTCCGTTTGCCCAATGTGGAGAACACTTAACTTGTCTTGACATGCTTGCCCAACACACACCAAGTTGCTACCATAAGGGCAATGAAATAACACCATGGTACAACAACTATGGATAGTGGGACCTGCTGTCAGTTGATAACCTTATGACCAACCAATGACATGAAACAACACCAGGGTACAACAACTATGAATAGTGGGACCTGCTGTCAGTTAGTAACCTTAGGTTTCCTTCATTCAGAGGCTATGTTCTAGGCACTGTACCTGACAAATTTGCTGACATGTTGCATGCTTGTTTCATAATTCTTTCCACCAACTTCCTGGCAGTGCAGGGCAACAAATTCTGGCTTTTGATCCCGGATCAGCTAAGATGGGGAAACACAGTGAGCCAACACCCTTGGCATGTCAAGACCAGCTGGAGCAATACAGCTAAACATAATGGCCATGCAATGTTGTCCTGTCTGCAACATATGCTGCACACTTACTTTCATTCTTAATTTTCAAAAAGGCAATATCCTTAATCAGAATAAGAATACATAACCAAATAAGAGTAATATCAAAACTGACATATCATAACATACTAACAAGCAAAACTGACATACTGACAATTATGCTATCAGCACCCTAGAAAGCCTTATCATTAAGAAATTATCTTAACATCATTTACACTCACCTTTAAAAATTCTTCCATCCATATCTTAAGCATATTTTCAGGCTGAAAAGGGAGTTAGAACATGTCATACCATTCAAAACAAAGGTAAGTTTAGAAATGTTTCAGCAGCATCATTCATAAGAGAACAGACAATGTTTTGCATGCTTAGGTGAAATAAAACATAAAAACTGTGTACAAACACAGTGTAAAAACACAGTAGCCTGACAACCTAATAATGAATTGCAAAATATGGCCTTAAACGGACCTGTTTATCTGGAGGGATGTGAGCTTCACTTGCCTTAAAGAACATGATATAAGAACCATAATATTCAAGGACACAAAATGGTGCAGTCAACTGAACACATGGTTACAGCAAAATTATTTTGAACATCAGAAAGTATGTGACTTAAATAAAATCTACAACTTGAACTCTATTCTAAATGGCAAAAAGTGTTATCATCTACAATAGGTGCTATCTAAGATGCCAAGCAAAACAGTGTTGCATCATTGTCATTTCATAATATTACATCAACTGTAGAGCTTATCTAGCTTGAACAGCTTTGTTTCTCATGATATACAACCTAATTTTATCTTTTCAGGATCTGTTTATGCATGTCTTGTGTGGCTTGAACTTTTTCAAGACATCCATAGGTATCACATAACACACAGGTATCATGTTACACAAAACACTGAAGCCTTACATCTTCAAAGATGGATCCAACATTTGCTGTGATTAGAAGTACCTCTGCTGCCATTGCACCTGTAAAGCAAAAGGAAAGCATGAAACAACCATTTTTCCAAGCTATGCATGGTATGGGTTTTATGTGTGGTGAAGCCTCCATGGGTTTTACGGGACGACCGCTAAGCCAAACACAAATTATATCAAGTTAGACCTTAATTATAATTATTCCACAAACAATTCATATCAATAGTTAACTATAGTTTGAGCATGTATTGATGATTAACCTTAAAGGTTTTCTAGGCTTCACCACATGCAACAATATTAGGAACACTTTACCTGTGACTGGTTCCTCTGTTTCATAGCTGGGTTTCACATATCAAGTGGTGCACAGATACTAGGAGTAACAAGAATACATGACCTATTGTGTAACAACAATGAGCCAACTGTATGTTCTATAACCAGCCTCATCTAAAGACAAAATCTGTCAAAGAAACAAACTGAACTAATATGTCTTTCAGTTTTACAGTTTACAGGGTCTTTTACAGTTTGCTGGCTTCTACGCCTCTGCCTTCACCCACATGCGATACCTACCTCTGAGTGCCTAGGCCTTATATCTGCGGATATGGAAACTAATCAATCGGGTATGATGCACCCACTGCTCCGAAAGCTGCAGCAAAGATGCCCACTTCAGGTCCATCACATTGCGAGCTGTGCAACAAACTTCGAAAATAGGTCGGCGACATTGGTGGGTTATTACTTCCACCAATTTGCATGCAGCACTACAACGGAACCACGAACAACCTCGCCTCGAAGAGGGGGGCGGACGCCCGCCTCGAATCCTATCTGCTCCTATTTGTTTTCGTTTCGATCCCTCTGATCCTACGATTGCAAACCAGCTTGGAAAGATGGTTCTCGTGACCTGAGCACCAAAAATATGGTAGCTTAGGATTTGCTACCAAATCATAACAATACGACGTCACAGCTCATTTTCTACCTTATAGAAATGTAATTAAAAGACTTTATTTTAAGAAATTTGGTGACCATAATGTTGAAAGCTTGATAAGAAGAGTCTTTAGATGAAAAAGTGCCTACAAAAGTCATTAATGTGTTTTGTTGGCCAGCTGATAGCAGGGTCGTGACGTCAATGTAGAACCTGTTAAAACTTTGATAGCCAGATTGGAGCACTTGATCAATATATGACGTTTGCTACGCGCTTACTCCATTTAAGGCGCACATTTTTATGGCTTCCCTACATTCTGTTTACTAAGCACAGCAGGAGTTCATGTTGAAATGTGATAGCTGAGGACCGGATACTGGTAAGTGTGATTGTGGTGGGAACAGCTGTGACTAGGTATCTGTGTTAATCAACGTTTTTACCGAATAGAAATGATTGGTACGTCATGTCTAATGTACGCTGGATGTTATTCTTCAAACGGGTATGCCAGGTATGGTACTTAAGCTGGGCTGCGAGGGTCGTTGCATCCTTATATTTGTGCAGAACTTATGGTATTCATGAGTGAAACAGGAATGCTGTGCCAATTTTGTTGGAGTGTATAGGGTATGGTGAGGGCACACTGAAATGGCTTCAGTCCCTATGTGGCTACACATCATTGTGTATACAAGTGGTGTAGTAATTGTTGGAGACTAACCTCTCCACTGGTCAGCATGCTCTCTCTCTCTCTCTCTCTCTCTCTCTCTCTCTTCTCTCTCTCTCTCTCTCTCTCTCTCTCTCTCTCTCTCTCCTCTCTCTCTCTCTCTCTCTCGTCTCTCTCTCTCGTCTCTGTCTCTGTCTCTGTCTCTCTGTCTCGTCTCTGTCTCTGTCTCTGTCTCTGTCTCTTCTCTGTCTCTGTCTCTGTCTCTGTCTCTGTCTCTGTCTCTGTCTCTGTCTCTGGTCTCTGTCTCTGTCTCTGTCTCTGTCTCTGTCTCTGTCTCTGTCTCTGTCTCTGTCTCTGTCTCTGTCTCTGTCTCTGTCTCTGTCTCTCTGTCATCTGTCTCTGTCTCTGTCTCTGTCTCTGTCTCTAGTCTCTGTTCTCTGCCTCTGTCTCTGTCTCTCTGTCTCTGTCTCTGTCTCTGTCTCTGTCTCTGTCTCTGTCTCTGTCTCTGTCTCTGTCTCTGTCTCTGTCTCTGTCTCTGTCTCTGTCTCTGTCTCTGTCTCTGTCTCTGTCTCTGTCTCTGTCTCTGTCTCTGTCTCTCTCTCTGTCTCTGTCTCTGTCTCTGTCTCTGTCTCTGTCTCTGTCTCTGTCTCTGTCTCTATCTCTATCTATCTCTATCTCTATCTCTATCTCTATCTCTATCTCTATCTATCTCTCTTTCTTTCTCTTTCTCTCTGTCCTGTCTCTCTCTGCCTTGTCTTCCTGTTAGGACATTGATAACACAAAACTTCAATTTGCTATGCAGCCACACCTGGCCATGACTTAAATCTGTCCAATCCCTTCTCCTCTTGTTACTGTCATGCCTAAGTCTAAAAGTTTCACCCTCCATATGTGATGTCACATATGGGTGTGGCCTAGAATGAATGCAATGGTTTTGTTCCAGTTTGATGTGGTGTGAATTGTTCATTCAGAGTATTTGACAACATCAAGTTGCATTAGCTTTTACAAGGTAACCACTGAACTTTGAGAAATGGCTACAGTTTTTTCTAGGAAATATGCTTAGTTAACTGGGGGTGTAGTTTCCCATTCAATTTGGGGAGGGGCGGAGCTTCAGTCCCTTCTCTCCAACGTGGGCTCCACCTGCCTTCCCTCAACTTTGAGTAAAAGTTAGGGCAAATCCAGGGAGAAAAGTATTTGTTGATATATTTTGAGGGTAGGTTGAGCCATTTTGTTTTTACCCTTCAGCACCTTCACAACTCATTTTGTGAAATTATGCCTATGTGGTGGACATTTGGTATAAAACATTTAGTAATGTGCTCACTTGTGATTGGGAGTTCAGTCTGCATCACTTGCAGGCTGTCAAACATTGGGCATTATGCTCATAATGAGCAGGGCTAAAAATTGCTCTGTTGAACTTGTAAGCTAGATTAAAAGTTATTGAATGGGAGTTATTTAAAACTGTTCAACATTGTAGAATTGGCTGTCTTTCTCCCTGTCTAAGAAAATGTCTGTTTTCTTGTGACCAGTGTGTTATCAGTGATATTTGATCCCTGTGGCTTTGCCATAGATGCTTACATGCAAGGAGCTTGCTGGCCCTGGTTGTCTGCAGAGTACGACTTTGCCTTCTTCATTGATAAGGAGTCACATTGAGCCTCTAACTGTACCCTCTCAGTTGATGGCATGTAAGAAACTTCAGTAACTTATGAGCTTTGACTGTAGGTCTATGTACTGCATGTGATCACATGCCCAGGCTCATGTCAGGAATGCATATAAATAGCTCCCTTTGAGATTGGTGAGCAGCGTGTCCAGTCTCTGACAGCTCACTGTATGGTTGAGTCACATTATGTGGAGAGAAAGAAGGAAACATGTACATTGTGGGATAGTTTATTATTTGTCACTAGCATGGGGTCATTCATTGTAACAACACTTACATTACTAACAGTTCCTGGATGTTCAAGGTCCATCATTTGGCACTTCTTGGGGAGAAGGCAGTAAACTTGATGCTGACAGGTTGCTAGGGCTGAACACATTGGTAGTAATCCAGGCAAAAATTTACTCCAGGGCTCCAGTCATGGTGGCAATTGCACACCTCGAGACATATGTATAGGAATGGGGAGGGGATGGGTTGGGTTCAGATGCCATGACACTCCACTTTTTGAAAATGCCGAACATTAGCTGTAGGCAACACATGGAAATGACTAACCTGAGTATTTGTTATGGCACTCCTCATATTCATGATATGTTCCCTAACCTCTGCCTCCATGTCAGGGAACTGGTCGCCATTGCTGGCGAATTAACTGAGGTTTGCACATGCAGTGAGGATTGTGAGGTCTTCCACCGCCGACTGCGGCTCAGTCTGCACCGAAGAAAACACGGAGCAGTGGCGTGGCCAATGGGATACCAGGGGAGCATGTCCCACGATCGCTTGCATTTCTACCCCGATGTCAATGTTTCGCCGCTTTGGCCTTTCGATGTCACTGAACTCGGCGGGTGATCGGCCGCGCCTCCGCGTCTGATCCTGGCGACGCCCCTGTCGCGGCGTGCCGACGACGCCCGCCAGCGCGGCGTGCGCGGAGGAGCGGAGAAGGACGCAGGTGACTCGGAGACGACCGGCGCGCCCGACGCGTCGGCACAGCCGCGCTGCGGGCGTCGGTGCATGTTCGTCTGTGCTCGCTGTATATGGTCGGTGAATGCTGCCCGTGGAACTAGGTGCGTCCCGTGGCCGCTGGATTAGGGTGGCCCGGATACAAGCCGTCCAGATGGGCGGCTCAGAGGCGTGGTGTCCGGGCTGGGGATTGCCTTATGTGTCCAAGAGCCCCCCCCCCCCTCCCTTCGCGAGGTGGACAGAAGGCGTGGCTGGAGAAAGGCATGCATTTTCTTGTGATGTGCTACTCATACGGTCTTTTGGCAGCTGTCGCATTGAACAGGAGATTGAACAAAGGCTTCAAGGAACCGCCATGCCATAAATTGTACTTACATTGTAAATGTCCGTAATATCTGTTTTGCTTAGCGGTATGTAGTTGACTGCACGAGGCGGCACAGATGGCGAAGCAATCCGGTGATTTGTGACCGGTGGACTACTGCTGCAAAGGCAACAGGTGGCTATGGGGTGCACCACTGTCAGTATACGTCAGTGAGGCGCGCTGACAAAGGCGTAGGAACATCCGAAAAATCGGGAGAACCACCCGTTTGGAAGTTGGCTCACTCCATACGCACCGTAGAGTTAATGCTAGGCTTTCACGACACGTAGGGGAGGGAGGGGGGGGGGGGGACTGTGATCCCCTCCGCCAACAGTTCCACGCCTACGTGTGCTTGACTCGTTATTGAGAAACGCTATCCCTTGTTGGACTCGACTGCATCATCAGCCCGACTGCTGCTTGCCGAGGGCTACCCAGGTGTTGCTCGCAGCGGGGGCCGAAGTCGAAGGTTTCGTTTTATGTCCTTCGCGGTTCGTGCATGCCTTTCGTGGGCATTTAGTTAGCTGGAATTATGCATCAGAATGCGTCCACAGTGCCACTGTACTGCGCGCATGTTTAGCTTCCATGACGCGATCGACCTCGGTTTGTACCACAGCACGTTATGCCTGAGACCCGTTTTGTACCAGGTAAGATTGGTGGTCTCCCGGTCACGGCGGAGGGGCTTTACTGGCGCATCTGTGCGTCAAGATAGCGGACTCACTGCCATATGATGTGTGACATGCCCAGATCAGTTCAGCCATGTGTGGGCGGCACATTTGCCTACGCATTTAGTTTGACGTGCTTGCTCAGGTATGGAACGAATGTCATACCTCCCGGTAGGGAATATGTCATATCTCCCGGTATGGTATGTCAGACCATCGCAGACCTACGCATTTACCACGCATTTAGTTTGACGTGCTTGCTCAGGTATGGAACGAATGTCATACCTCCCGGTAGGGAATTATGTCATATCTCCCGGTATGGTATGATGTCAGACCATCGCAGACCTACGCATTTACCACGCATTTAGTTTGACGTGTTTGCTCAGGTGTGGAACGAATGTCATACCTCCCGGTAGGGAATTATGTCATATCTCCCGGTATGGTATGATGTCAGACCTCCCGGCTGGAGATGTCTGACGCCTAGTCTGAAATTCTCCCGCAGACGGGGGATCCATGGATTGCGCTCGGGCGCGCCTGACCGGTTGCGCTTTTAGGGCCGCCCCTTTGTTAGGACGGTTGTGTGTTCCATCATTGGTCAAACGGTGCTGATCCGGTGCCGGTGCGGACCGTGGGCCATCGAGACGAGAATCCCTGGTTTCGACTCGTGTTCTTAGGCTTTTTTCGCAAATGTTACACTAACTGAGTGGAGAATGAGAACCTTGAGGGATAAGTCGGTGCTTTAACGAATACTGGTCCGATTGAAAAGGACGAATTCAAATACCTTGAACATATTACTGGAGAACAATGGCATAATTTTTGCTTGTTGAAAACCGCTCGGTTGCGCTGTCAGGTCGCGGAGATCGCTGCAATAATCACACAAGACAGTGCCAACCGGTGCGATCTGAACTTGGTTCTCTCGTTTTATGCTGCGTTGTTAAACAAGCAAATACGTGTCTCGCGCACAGTTTTGAACACCGCTTTAGTTCAGTGGCCTCGGAAGACGACGAAATCACACATGCCGTAAAACCGGACGGATGTCCCAATGTTTTGTGTCAGCGGTCAATCGCCTCCAGAAACCTATCCTCCAGCGGTACGGTGTAAGGAATACCACTGAAGGTGACATGCTGCGGAAATAGTGGCATTGGCCTCGCGTGGGCCCGGCGAAAACGTCAGACGCGGTTGTGAGGAAGCTTAAGTTATACCACTGGGGTGTCATAACTTCGGTCCAGCATGTCTGCCCCCTTACGACGGGAATGTGCGTCGGGTACTCACCACCAGCCGTGTTTCGATGACCGCTCGCTGTTGGTACGGGGGGTAGTGACGCGAACTCTCGTAGAGATCAGGTCCCTCGTCACACTAACCAAATTGCACGGGGCTTTACCTGCCAAAGCTCTTGAGGCTTTCGTGGCTATCGGAGCGACCGGGTGCTCACCTGCGGGGCTGTGACCCGGTGGCTGGTGTTCGACGACGGCCGGCGGCCTGTCGCGCAGTCCCATCGCGTCGCGCTGGCCGCGCGTCGGTCCAAGCACCTGGCGCGCGCCCCTCCGTCACTGCGGCCGCCGCTCGGGTGCAGCCGAGCAGAGAAAACGCGGCCAGCCGCGCCGCCGGCGGCGCACGAGTGGTGCGCGGGTCGAGCCGCCAGCCGGCGCGGCGCCCCGCCCCCGGCCCAGTCGGAGCGCCACTGCGCCGGGCCCGGCAGCGTCGGCGGCGGCGCTAAGCTGCGGTGCGACGTCACCGGGCGCGCTCGAGCCGGCCCTGGCGCCTCCGCCGCCGGAGACGAGCCGGCAGGGCGCGGCAGGATCAGACGCGAAAGCCGGCCCGCCGCGCGATCCGGTGAGAGCGCGCCCTCATCTCGCGTCCGACCCGCCGCCGCCGCCGCCGCCGCGAGCTGCCGCGAGCTGCTGCTCTGCGCATGCGTCGCGGCGGCTCGTTTGTCGCGATGCGGCCTCGCGCGCCCCATGTGTGTCGGCTACCGCGGGCCGTGCCGGGGTGCTCGCGTGTCGACCACGGCGTCGTCGCCGCGGCGCGTCGCGTCCGGCCGCGCAGCGCGGCCCGGTGGTGACCCGCGTCCGGGTGGGCCCCGCGCCACCTGTCGCCGTCAGGCCCCCTCTCTTCCCTTCACCGCGGGGCTGCAGAGCGCACCGCGTAGGCGACCTCGCTACCCCCTCCCCTCCCCTCGGCGCCGGCAGGCCGGTGTCCGGGCCATCCGGGGGCGGCGTGGGCGGTGTCCGGGAGAGATTGACGTCAGGAGCTGCCGGGGTCGGGCCGCCCGCTGACCACTGCCGCCCACTCGGCCACCGCCGCTCTGTTGCCGTGTGGACAGCCGTGCTGCACGTGGTTCCGTCTCCATCGGTGCAAGGGCCCGGTATCGTTTTATATTAAAAAGGAAGTTGTGGGTAGGGGTCATACATTTCTGTTTTTCCTCAGCGCTGTGTTTTTGTTTGGGGGGGGGGGGGCCTCGTGGAGACTGCTGCTTTTTTTTTGCTCACCGTTAACTTGAAGCGAATAGTCCGCGGCTGCACAGTGCTTTGGTGGGATTGCTGGTCGCAAACGGCGCGTTCATAGACATATATATATATATATATATATATATATATATATATATATATATATATTGTATCTCGTATCTCCTTTATAGACATAGAAGAGATAGGAGTTGGAAGGCAGTGAAGGCGTTGAATCATTACATGTTACTCTGGTGCAGTTGCTGATAAGTTGTATGCGAAAGTTTGGCGTGATCCGTCAACCACTTTTCTGTTATCGCATCCATATTGATTTCTATGTGCCATGAGTCCCAATCGGGGGCTTCGGAGACCGGTGTCACCGCTCTTTCCCATGCATCGCTGCGACGTTCCAAGTCGTGCACCGGCATGACGTCCTCGTGTGCCACCGCGCGCATTCCTTGCCCGCTTTCAAACCAGGTATGCCTCGGATGAACTCGCCGGTGATGAAACGCCCCGATTGGTTGCAGGGCCGGGCCACGCCGCGAATAACACGTCATAAACGTCTGGGGATCACGTCGTAAACAGTGCTGTTGTGTGCGGTGTGCGAGCGCCGAGCGTGCACCGGCGCCGGCGGCCGGGTTTCACAGCCACCGGGCTGCTCTGCCGATCCGCAGATCGCACGCGGACGGGGATGGACGGCCGAGCCGGCTGCGGGCCAGCGGAGGAGGCGGCCGCCGCCGAGGAGACCAGCGCAGGGTGCGCGGAGGCGGTGCGGCTGCGTCTTGGGTTAGGGCGCAGCGGCGAGAGAGAGCCGTGCAGTCCGAGGGCGGCCCCGCCGGGACGTGAGGAGGACGGGGGCGCCGCTGACGGGATGAGCGGTATCGACGCCGTGTCGGAGTGGGGAGCGCTGCCGGACGGGGACGCTCCGGACCCGTGCTGGGGCGGCGGCGCCTCTCCAGAGGCCCGTCACGCCGCGCTTGAGGTGGCGCCGGCCCCGGAGCACACGGCCACCCCGCCTGCGGACGCCCGCGGCCGGCCGGCGCAGGCCGCCCTGCCGGTGGACCGGCTCAGCCCGGCCGGGGACGAGCGGCCGGTGCCGGTAGAGCTGGCCGGCCGCTGCGGCTACGTCTGGAGCCCGGCGGCGGCGCTGCGGCTGCGCTCGCGCCACGGCGTGCCCGGACAGCTGAGCGGCGGCCTGCCGCGCGCGCCGCGCCAGTCCGCCCAGCTCGGCCTGCCGCTGGCGCTGCTGCCCGAGGAGATGGCGCTGCTGCAGCAGCACGGTGAGCGCCGCGGATGCCGCGCGGCCGAGATGAAGGCCGCCGCTCGCCGGAATCGGCGATCGCGTGCGTTCCGGGATGTGGCGCGTGGTAGCTGTCCGCACGGAGCGGATGTGGGCGACTGCATGACGTTGGCGGTGGAATGTAGATGCTTCCGCGTTGGATAAGATCTGGTCAGGATGCAGTGGGGCGTGGTGGCCCACGTAAGTTGTTCAGCAAATTACCACTGTCCATGGCGGATGCAGTCGAAATACCATGCCGCGACGTCCAATGTTTGCATTGTGCGACTTCGCCGTGCCCACGACTGGCGTCTTTCACTTGCATGACGGATCATGACGGATGGATCGCACACCGGCGTTTCGCTTGGTGCATATATGGATGCAAACGTCATAAACCATGCGATGAACGCATCGCGAAATCCAAACAACGCGACCAGCCCGCCCACGTGTGCCTTTTGATGACAGCGATGGTCCGTTTCCAGGCATCTGCGATGTGGTGACGTACCCGGACCTAACGAGGCCGCGCTCGGATGACGACCGGCGCCTGCTGGAGCAGCACGAGCAGCGCAGCGTCGAGGCGCAGCAGAAGGCGATGACTCTGGCGCGCCACAAGCAGCTGCTGGAGCGCGCCGATCAGATCGTCGACGGCAAGTGGAAGAAGCTGCAGCAGCAGCGGGCGGCCGGCCGCGCCGTGGAGGCCGTCTCGCGCCACCAGCTGCGGTTCGACTTCATCGAGCGGCTGCGCGCGAACGTGCGGCCGCCTCCGGCCGCGCAGTGCTACGCGCAGCTGTACTGCGGCCACCCGCTGACGGCGCGGCTGGCGCCAGCCCCGCTCGCGCCGCCGCGCTCACCGCTGGAGCGAGCGCGCCGCGCCACGTACGCCGACCTGTGGCGGCGCGGCTACCGGCTGACTGACGGGCTCAAGTTCGGCGGTGACTTCCTGGCGTACGAGGGCGACCCGCTGACGCACCACGCGGCGCTGGTGGTGCGCTGCGTGGCGCGACGGCCGCACGTGCGCGACGTGGCCGGCCTGCAGCGCCTGGCGCACGGTTGCGGCAAGACGCTGCTCATCAGCGCGGTGGACCAGCACGGGCGCGTCCGACACCGGACGGTCGGCCGCCGGCCTCCGCCGCTCAGGCCGCTGCCGGAGGAGGCGCCGCCGGCGGGCCGCGCGCCCTCCCAGACTGAGGCGGCGGGCTGATTGTGGCCTTCGTTGCGCTGTCGTCGGCTGTGGAGTGGGTTGCGATCGATTGATCCGCCGTTTGAGGAAGGGGTTCACCAGACGGCACGCGGATGTCTGTGGTTTTCAAACTGGTGGGGCAGTACGCCCTTTTTTATTACGGGGCTAAGTTCGCGGAGGGTCTCCGTTGCGATCTTCCACGAACGCACCGGCCGTGGTCGGGCTTCCAACAGTCGACCTTGTGCAGCGACCCTCAGCTGTGGGCGTGAATCCTCTTACGCCAGGCGGGCGCTTTTGCACAGTCCCCGCGCTCGCAGTCTGCGGTGCGCCGCTGCAGGTCTCTTGTGTCAGGTTGCGGCGCGCGGCTGCAAACGCCTGTTGTGTCAGCACCCGTCCGCGCCAACGCAATACATGACGTCACCCGTCACGGGACTGCTGACCCGTTACGGCCGTGACGTAACCACGGTCGCGGCGGGCTCGCGCGACCGCCGCCCGGGCGGCATCATCCCCGTGGGAGGCGGACGACACTCAGCGCAGGGTGGGCCGAGACCCGCGGCGGCTGGTGACGTCAGCAGCTGCGTGTCGCTGGCGGTCCGGACAGATTCTCGACACTGGGTTGAGCCGGTTCTCGGAATGGCGGCGGAGGTATCGCTTCGTCTGGGAAATTGGGCCTCTCAAGTTTGCCTTGGCATCACACCCAGTGATGCAGACTCCAGGATGTTGTAGTTCCGGCGTTTTAGTCGGGATAAAATGGGAGCTGACGCATCCGCCGCAACGCGTGCGTGGTAGCCAGCCCCGCCCCGGGGTAGCCAGCGACGCCCCGGGGTAGCCAGCCCCGCCCCGGTGTAGCCAGCCGCGCCCCTGGGTAGCCAGCCACGCGCCAGGGTAGCCAGCCGCGCCCCGGGGTAGCCAGCGACGCCCCGGGGTAGCCAGCGACGCCCCGGGGTAGCCAGCCACGCCCGGGGTAGCTAGCCGGTAGCCAGCCGCACCCCGGAGTAGACAGCCACGCCCCGGGGTAGCCAGCCCCGCCCCGGGGTAGCCAGCCCCGCCCCGGGGTAGCCAGCCCCGCCCCGGGGTAGCCAGCCACGCCGCGGGGTAGCCAGCCCCGCCCCGGGGTAGCCAGCCGCGCCCCGGGGTAGCCAGCCCCGCCCCGGGATAGCGAGCCCCGCCCCGGGGTAGCCAGCCCCGCCCCGGGGTAGCCAGCCACGCCGCGGGGTAGCCAGCCACGCCCCGGAGTAGCCAGCCACGCCGCGGGGTAGCCAGCCATGCCCGGGGTAGCCAGCCCCGCCCCGGGATAGCCAGCCCCGCCCCGGGGTAGCCAGCCACGCCCCGGGGTAGCCAGCCGCGCCCGGGGTAGCCAGCCACGCCGCGGGGTAGCCAGCCACGCCCCGGGGTAGCCAGCCCCGCCCCGGGGTAGCCAGCCCCGCCCCGGGGTAGCCAGCCCCGCCCCGGGGTAGCCAGCCCCGCCCCGGGGTAGCCAGCCACGCCGCGGGGTAGCCAGCCACGCCCCGGGGTAGCCAGCCACGCCCCGGAGTAGCCAGCCACGCCCGTCTACGACGGTGTGTGGGAAGACGTGAGCTTGCACAGGGCGTACCTTTGATGTTTGCAAAACTTTTGGTGGTGCGGACACGCAGCACGTGGCTTTAATCCCGAACTGTCTTCGCCGGCCACCTTTTGAAGGATCTTACCTGCTGCGACATCGCGTGGTGAATAACTCTGCATTCAGCATGCTTTTAGCCCTACGGACGTCCCTGCCCAGACATGCTGGCAGCACGGATAAAAAGAGGAGTTCCGGGCGTTAGTGCCACGCCATCTGCACGGACTGGCATTCCACGTGGTGGAATGCATCAAGCCGTCACTGTTTCCGCGCACTCCCTATACATGCCGAGGCGAGCCTGCCCGAGGGTGGAGTACGTACCCCATCTCACCTCACACGCTCACGAGCGGCGTTTCCGCCCGTCCATTGCAATCCAGGATGGCTTCGATCTTAGCTCGAAGCACCAGATAAACAGAGTGCGGGGCTTTGTCCGGCGGCTCCGCTCATCTGGCGGCGATGAGCCGGAGTGGCCGGTCTGATCACCCGGCCACAAGAGGAGTTATTCGTGATACCACGGCTTCCACCCTGGGTACGCCAGCGTGGGTGGAGAATGCTCTGAACACTTGTCAAGGCAAAACTGCTGGAGCGAAATATTTCATTGAGAAACGTGACTTAAATGGGGGCCGGTCACAAGTGAGCGCGTTTTGTCGGCGCGGCCGCTTTCACACCCGTCACCACACGCCGCATTCTCCGCTCCCGCCCATTGCAGATAAGTGGACCGCACAGAACAGTTGTGCGCCACAAAAACACGGCCGAGGCGAGCGGTATAAAATGTATTAGAATACATTTTGACAACAGAATGATTCGTACAATCTAATGTTCACGTGTCCACTTAAAATAAAAAAAACCGCTGACAAAAATACGCGGCTGAACGGCGACGACCACAGTGCCGAGGACGCAAACAAGGAAGTCACGAAACACATTGTACTGGGTCTGTCTTGGCGAGATTCAAGCACTAAAAAGACAAAACACCACACCGAAGTCGGCGGGGTGCGCGCTCAGGATGGCATGTTATGTACAGAAATGCAGGAACTACCTGATCCGCGGACGGCCGCACGGCCCAACCGGCGGCGGTCGGCACCGCGGGCCCGCCACCAGAGCTGCCTCCATCCGTGATATCGACGCCGCACGCGGACACGCGCCGTCCCACCACGGCCACAACACGACTCAGAGGTCCACTGAGCGGCGGCACGCGTCTCCGTCTCTTCCACCCCTGTACCGCTGCACCGCCCCGCGTCCCTCGGGAACGCTCCCCGCCGGCGCCGCAGCGCGCGCACTCGTAAGAACCGTACAAAAGCGTTAGAAATCTTCGTACGAGGCTGCCTTTGGCACAAATAATGACTTAAATAACCGATCCGGGGTCTGTCGTCGTCCGCGGCGCCCGGGCGGCGCCGTGTTGGCATTCACGCGTCTTACACACTATGTACAGCCGGTCCTGTCGGGAAAGAAGCCCCGACAGCCCTAGCACTTAAACTCGGAGGCCGTGATGGCGTTCAAGTCCTTCATCAGGCCCTCCAGGTTGGCCATCTCCTGCGTTAACTCTTCCGTGCTGCACGATGGCTGAAAGGAGACGTGCTGAGATGAGGCGCGGGAGACATGGGGCACGGCGAGGGAGGTTAACAAACCAGTAACGGCTTGGAACAGTAACCGGCACGTGGGTGCACAGTGCGACATTCAGACGGACGAAATACCGACCTGAAATGACAGGGAGCCACTTTGTTCCACCGCCCCCTGACTCATATCATCTTTACAAAATAAGCTGTTCGCGGCCTGTTTGTTATGGAGACAGCGTATACACAGTGGTACAATAATAGCACAACGATGGCGAAAAATATATACACATTCAGACAGCACCAGTCAGCCACTAAGCTGATGCTGGGCTAGACCTAATACCAACCGACCCTTGAGACTTGACCATCCCTCCCCAAACCCAGCAGCCCACAGGGGCACCTGCTGCAGCTCGCCATTCCTGACCTAGCTTGGATGGTTCCTGACACAATCACTCCCAATCTCCCATCCCTCCGCGCCTCCTACTGACCCGGAGCGGTGTCAGCTCCTCGCGCGTGCCGACGCCGTCGGCCGGCCGCGGCGCGCAGGCGAACGATGGCCGCTTGAGCGGACTGCCGAGCGGGCGCGCGCCGGCCAGCGGCGGCGGCGGCGCCGGCACGCCGAAGCTCTTGAGCGGGTGCGCCAGCGGCGCGGCGGCCCGCTTGCCCAGCGAGCCCGAGTCGACGCTGCTGGCGGCGCTCGATGGGTAGCCGGGCGGCAGGCCGGTCGGCCCGCCCGCCTCCGACGACGAGGCCGAGGTGAGGCCCAGGCCGGCGCCGTAGTGGCTCTCCGGCGCCGTCGGCGCTGGAGGCAGACAGCCGGCGTGACGTCGCGCCACCTCTGAATACGGACGCAGAGGCGCGCGAGGCAGGTACGGCTACTGCAGAAGCTGCGTCACTGCCGCTCCAACCACAGGTCGTCCGACCGCCGGCGTTATGACATGCGTCAGTTAACCCAATACAGCCGTCAAACATCTCCGACCACTACCAGCCCGTACTCTCCGGCCGAGAACACCCAACGCACCCACGTTCCCGCAACGGTGCAGCGAGCACGCCGAGCCCGGCTCGCCAGACACCGCGATCCACCGAATATCCACATCCGTGTCGCACCCGCCACGCGGCCCTCCCGCCGCCGCGGCCGCTCCAACCGGAAGCGGACCGGTAGCGGACGGGCAACCGGACGGAAGGCGCGCGGTCCAGACTAGCAGCGGGCTGGGAGCGGGCCACGAGTACGCTCCCAGCCCGGTGCACCGGAACGGTCCGTGGGCAGTCCGAAGGTCCGGCTAGGATTGGGGGTTTCGGAGTCCCGTCAGGAGCGGGCCGGAAGTCCTGTCAGGAGAGGACCAGGAGACCGCTTAGGTTGGTTATTTGGATTAGACCCCTTCCCACCAAAAATGATCATTTCAGGGCTATGGAGTACAGAACAATGGATAGCGGTGGGTCAGGGCGACATGTGCATGAGGGGCCGACCACTGAGCCTTAGCCCGCGCAGGGACCCCTCTGCGGGGTGTGCGCTGGGCGCCCGGTCGGGGTCCGTCCGTGACTGGCGCATGCAGCCTGCCCCGGACAAGCGGAGCGCTGCGAGGAGGCAGGATGAAGCAAGACAGAGGATAAGAGGGTCGGGTGCGGGAGACCGGTCAGAGGCGGGTCTCTCACCTGGCGGCGGCGGCGGCTCGCTGCCGACATTGCGCGATATGCTGAACTGTGTGCGCGGATAGACGGGCCGCGTCTCCACCGTGCCGTTGGCTAGTGCCGTGGCCGAGCTGCCAGCTGCGGCGAACGGCGGTCTCAGTGTCGGCGCCGCGTGCGCAGGTCCAACTCTCACTCTCGCTCGCGCGGGGGACGCGACAGCACACGGATAGCGGCTCACGACGAGGACAAATACACCACTCATCACAAAACACAACGGGCACAGCAGTTAACTACGGTAGATGTACTGCATGGCAAGCCAACACAACTCGACTTAAAACCCACAACGAAAAGTAAACCTCCGGCTGTCGATAAGCCATGCGGTTCTCCATGCTGTGGCAGCAATACTCACGGTCCCGGTGCGGTGCGACATCTATAGGCACAACGATAGGCTTTGGTTTGAACACCGACCGCCTGTGAATCTGCTTGTCTAATCTGTCCTCACTGCGGGATGACCCTGTCCAGGAGGCGGCGCGTGTGAAGACGTGCACTAGCGCAGCGTGCTGGACAACCAAGCCGAGCCGGGCCGACACGGACAGTGCAGCGCCCCGAAGGACGACTCGGCGCCGAGCGGACCAAATCATATGCGATACAAAATGCGCAACTTAAGGCAAGCGTGCAGCGCAACACCACTAGACGGCCGCGCTGGCGGCAGCGCGGGCGCCGGCAAGCTATCTGACAGTGCGGTGCACCAGCTGGCTAGCAGACCCAGTGTATGTGTGGTTCATCAGGACACGCTTCGAGATCTAAATCAAAACGGTGGTAATGATGAGCGGTGCTTGAAACTGCCTAATCCGCCCACCTAATACAAAACAATAATCAATCCAGTACCGGGACGGGCCTGGGCTAGGCACGGCTGGTCCTGGTTGAGCAAATGATTTCGTATACTGTTTCAAGCTCGATTTCAACCTCACCGTTTCCCACCAGATCTCCAACCGCGTCCAGACAACTCGCAATCCCACGGCACGGTCCCACCAGCTGACCAGCCCTGTGTGACCGACCCGGCCGTCGGGCGCGCGGCACCGCCATCCGACCGACGCCCGCCGCCGGCGCGCGCGCCCCATGCACCCGACCCGCCGCCGCCGCTCACCTTTGCCGACGACGGGCGAGTGGGTGCGCGCGGCGCGCTCGCGCCGGTCCAGCGTCGACGCGTACGACCGCTCGTCGACCTCGTAGTCGGGCGACTGGCGGCGCAGCGTCGAGCAGCTGTCCGAGCGCTGCTTGCCGATGGGCCGCAGCTCCATCTGGTCGTGGTGGATCCACAGGTCGGGCGGCTTCAAGTCCGGCGTGCCGATCTCCGTCTGGCCCTTCACGTAGCTGTTGCTGAAACGGCCCGCCGTCTCTGACCGCATGGCAGCGGGGGGACAGGCTCGGCGCCGCAGCGGCGGGGAGCGCACGTCTCCCGTGCGGGAGGCCGGCTCTAGTTACGGCTGACGCTGGCCTTCCTTGTCGCTAACAAGACCGGCATACTAATAAGCACCATACGCTCTATGACGGATGTGTCCGGCGAGCACAGCGCACCACTCTGAAAAAGGACATGGGGCTGCGACGGGGCGGGGTGACGTAGAACATCACCCACTTTTCTCCAAAAAGCGCGACCGATGTAGCCACCAGGGCAATGAGTGCGACAAGGCCGCATCCATCGTGTCACGACGGACGTGTCTGCTGACGGCATCCGCATTCAACACGGCAGAGTCAAACTCTGCTCCCTTCAGCGGGCCGGGCGAGCAGTGTACCTCTTGTGACCGCGCCGGGGCAACTCCTGGCTCGTCTTGCGCTTGCAGAGGCAGACGGCCGCAATGATGCCGATCACCAGCAGCAGCGTGACGGAGCAGGCGATGATGACGTAGAGCAGGTGGTCGCCCAGGCCGCCGCCGCCTGCCGGCCGGCCGCCGTCACCGTCACACACTGACGGGACCCGGCCGCGGCCCGGCGCCGGGACAGTGGTCACGGTACGCGGTGGCCATCCCATACCGTGCAAACGCAACTGGTTCCTGAGTTAGTGTAGCGGTGAAATAAACACAAGGAAACGGCATGTCACACATATTTAAACGGAGCTTTGCAGCAGAAAATTTAGACTCTAGGGGCAGACAGCAAGCATACGAACGAAACCAAAAAAAAAGAAGAAAACCGTGCTTCTTGACGCTCACCTGATTTTCGCTCGTACGACAGGCTGTAACCAGGGTCTACAAAAACCAAAACGAAAATGTTAAAACAAAGGACGAGACTGGCGTGCACAAAACAAGGCAGAAGTTCGACCAGAGTCGCGGCAAAGCGACCCAACTCGGCCGCTGAAAAGACACGTGCAGTGTGCCACAGGAGGGGGCACCTGGTGCAGGCACGACACACCACCACTCCCGTCATGACTGTCACGCCGTGGCCAGCGAGAAGTACCCTTTCCCCGCGCCGTCCCTGCCCGGGTACCGCGTGCCCGGCGCCCCTACCCGGACACCGCACGCCTGGCGTCTCCCTGCCGCGCTCCTGCCCGGGCGCCACGTGCCTGGCGTCTACCTGCCCCTCCTGCCCGGGCATCACGTGCCTAGTGTCTCCCTGCCGCGCCTTGCCCGGGTACCACGTGCCTGGCGCCTCCCTGCCCCTCCTGCCCGGGCATCACGTGCCTAGTGTCTCCCTGCCCCCTCCTGCCCGGGCACCACGTGCCTGCTGGCTCCCTGCCCCTCCCGTCCGGGCACCACGTGCCTGGTGGCTCCCTGTCGCGCTCTTGCCCGGGCACCACGTGCCTGCCGCGCCCCTGTCCGGATGCGACACACTCTCGCCGCCCCCCCCCCCCCCCCGTGTGCCGCTGCCAGAGCTTTTAGCCATGATCAGCTACAGACAGCGGCCTCATCATGGCCAGCTGTTAACTGAGTCACATCAATGAGCAAAACAAGACTGCGTGTGTCACAAACGAACGAAAATGGATGAGCTTGCTCATGCACGACGTGCAGCGAATGCGTGTGACGCTTCAGATCACTCGCGGCAAAGACAATACAATCATTGGACTGGAAGCTGTGACGAAATCATGCGCAAAATCCAGCAATGCCGGTAAAACAACGGCCGCAGCTATCATCAAGTCACCCCTGTATATCATGTAAACGCACGGATAATGACAATGCCGAGAGTAAGTCACACCGCATTACACAACCAGCTAAACGGACACTCTGTCAGGTAATTGGCCCCGCGAGTCCACACATCCTCCAAGTTTTTCAAGAAGTTTCCCCGCAACGAACGCACGCACTTTTGACTTGACCTGGTCTTTTTGTGCCAAACAGCGGACGGTAAAAAGTGGCAACACATGCCAACCGAGCGCTGCACGGTAGTGAGTCGTGATGATGCTGGCGCGCGACCTCAGCTGAGGTAACAGTCAACAATGACCTGACTTGGCCTGTGCTGGAGATCAGGCTAACCTCTGCTGCCGAAATGGGCCTGTGCAGATCCTGACCCGCGTGGGTGCCGGCGCTGTGCCGACCACCACCCGCACGGGCACCGACTCGGGCCCATGGCCTGGAGCAGTGTCCCGAGTCTGACCTACGCTGATGCAGACCCAGTGCCGACCACCAACCGTATTGGCACCTACTCTGACCGATGACCTAGAGCAGTGACCCGAGCCTGACCTACGCTGATGCAGACCCAGTGCCGACCACCACCCGCACGGGCACCGGCTCTGACCGACGACCTAGAGCAGTGACCCGAGTCTGACCTACGCTGATGCAGACCCAGTGCCGACCACAAACCGTATTGGCACCTACTCTGACCGATGACCTAGAGCAGTGACCTGGATCTGACCTACGCTGATGCAGACCCAGTGCCGACCACCACCCGTACTGGCACCGGCTCTGACCGATGACCTAGAGCAGTGACCCGGGTCTGACCTGAGCTGGTGTGCAGCCGGACCGGCCGCGAGATGGGGCTGTTGCCGGCGCTGTTGCGCGCCTGGATGCGGAACCAGTAGACGGTGGAGGGCGTGAGGCCGCTGAGCGCGGTCGTCATCTGGTCGCCCACCACCGGGTGCACCAGCCACTCGCGGTCCGGCCGCGACCGGTCCGTCGTGTACTGGATCACGTAGCCTGCGGCGGGGAGGGCGGGTCAGGGCAGGGCGCCGGGGGACGGCCGACGTCAGGCCAACACCACGGCGAGGTCGAGCTTCGGATTCGGAGCAGCCACACCGGCAGCGGGGCTCGCCGGCTGGCTGCCGGGCCCTAGTCGGCAGAAATGACCACGAAGCGCCGCAGGGCTGGCTCGGCAACACGCCAGTGTGAAGCTCAGTAACACCAACAAGAGTCAGAATCTTCTTAGGCGTGCAACATCTTGTATGTAACCGGCTACATTACAAAAAAAGACTAGCTCGGATGTGCGCAGCAACGGTTTCTGTCGCCGCGGAAAGGGCCACTGTCCCACGGAGCCCCCTCCCCCGCCCCCGAAGACCACCCCCGCCTCACTGACCGTCGATCTTGCCGTTGGGCGTCTTGGGCGGCTGCCAGTTGAGGTTGATGATGGCCGGGTTGTCCTCCGACTGGACGATGGTCAGGTCACGCGGCGGCGAGGCGGGCGCCGACTCGCGCGTCTGATTCACCACCACCAGCGACCAGTCCGACTCACGGCGACCCTGCAGGCGCAGCCGAGACCGCCCCGTCAGACGGACGCCACCAGCGCCGGCGCGCCCCGCCAGCCGGCCGGAGCGCGCGGTCACCAGCCATGGACCGCCCCGTCAGACGGACGCCACCAGCGCCGACGCGCCCCGCCCGGCCGGCCGGAGCGCGCGGTCACCAGCCATGGACCACCCTATCAGACGGACGCTACTAGCGCCAACGCGCCCCACCCGGCCGGCCGGAGCGCACAGTCACCAGCCACGGACCACCCCGTCAGACGGACGCCACTAGCGCCAACGCGCCCCACCAGCTGGCCGGAGCGCGCGGTCACCAGCCATGGACCGCCCCGTCAGACGGACGCCACTAGCGCCAACGCGCCCCACCAGCTGGCCAGAGCGCGCGGTCACCAGCCATGGACCGCCCCGTCAGACGGACGCCACCAGCGCCGACGCGCCCCACCAGCTGGCCAGAGCGCGCGGTCACCAGCCATGGACCGCGCCGGCTGGCGGCTGCGCGGGGGCTGCCACGGGCGCACACGTCCCTGGTGAGCCGGACTCGAGCCCGCACCCCGCAGCGACCCGGCACATCGTCAGCTTCGGTCGGCCAGGTCCGACAGGTGCTGACCCGATACCACACACTGCCCGTCCGGGCCCAGCCTACGCCACGGGGCTTAACCTAGCCTAAGGCACGCAAAATGATCCAGCCGTAAGAGCTCACACGACCAGGCATTACGTTTAGCAACCAGTTATCCAGCCCCAAGGTCAGACGGCCTGGCACCGTGCAGAATCATTGCTGTCTGTGACACTGACCGACAGCCCGGGCCACCACCCAACCGAGACGCCATTCCCTTTAGCAGCCATGGAGACTATGTTCCTCAGCGCGAGCACCGGTTCGCGTCTCCACCCGTATCCTGCGCGGCGCGTCCCGGCCGTCTCCGTCGTACCTTCACGGCCTGCACAGAGAACTCGTAGGTGGTGGCCGGTCGCAGTCCCTCGATCATGCAGTTGAGCTGCGAGGCGTTGTAGTGGCGGTAGCGCTCGGGGCTGGCCTGGCTGCTGTAGCGCACGCGGTAGATCCGGCCGTCTGTGACCTCCTGCAGCCGCCCCGACCGAAACACGTCACAGCGCGACACCACTACGCCTCCAGCTGCTGCCGGGGCACCATATGACCAGGACAGTCCCGCCCCGACCGAAACACGTCCCAGGGTGACACCACTACGCCTCCAGCTGCTGCCGAGGCACCATATGACCAGGACAGTCCCGCCCCGACCGAAACACGTCCCAGGGTGACACCACTGCGCCTCCAGCTGCTGCCGGGGCACCATATAACCAGGACAGTCCCGCCCCGACCGAAACACGTCCCAGCGTGACACCACTGCGCCTCCAGCTGCTGCCGGGGCACCATATAACCAGGACAGTCCCGCCCCGACCGAAACACGTCCCAGGGTGACACCACTGCGCCTCCAGGTGCTGCCGGGGCACCATATAACCAGGACAGTCGGCGCAACCAAAGGCTCAAATCATCGTCATCGTCCTCATCCTCCTCATCATCATCCTCATGATCATCATAAACATAATAATAATAATCATTATCATGCTGCCGTGTCAGTGTACGACGGACGTGTTCTAAAGCAAAAGGAAATGCGATATCTGTGTAATCAACGCAACAAGTCACGCTCGGCGATGATTACAAATGTCGTATCACGGACGGAACACTGCAAAACGCACGACGGCTCAGCCTAGCACCCTGGTCTTGTGTGTGTGTCATTGGGGCTTTACGACGCACTCAGCTGCTGAGGCTACATGGCGTCGCCTGCCTCTCACCCTGGCAGGAAGGGCGGGCACCGCGGGGAATCGAACCCCGTACCTCTGGTTTCCCACATGCGCAGTGGTTAACGCAGCCGCGTTAACGCAGACGCAGACGCGTTAACCACTACACTACCGGCACCCCACCCTGGTCTTGTGAGGGGACGGGGGCGCCACAGCCGCCTCAGCGGGGCGCCTCGCCTGACCGTGCCGGGGCTGCCGCGCCCCGAGCCGAGCACGCGGTCCGTGCCTGTTGGCCGGGCGCACAGTCACACCCGGCCGCGCAGGGCCGGCCGCGCGGCGCCCGTCCGTACCTGGTTGGGGAGCGAGCGGTCGGTCCAGTGGAGCACGGCGGCCGACTCGCTGACGACGATCACCTTCAGGCCGGTGGGGATGACCAGCGGGCGCCGGTCCAGCTGGTCCAGCGGCTGTCGCGTCCACACCGTCTCGTAGATCGGCGTGCCGTTGCCGGCCGCGTTCAGCGCCCGCAGCGACACCACGTACTCGGCGTTCGGATCTGTCGGCCGCCGGCGCCACCGCCGTCAGCTGCTGCTTTGGAGGCGCTGACGGCGACGCGACTATGGGGCATGTGTGGGAGGGCGGCAGGGGGAAGGTTGGCTAGGCATGATGTGTTTCAGCTCCAATGGTCATTGCGCGGGGGGACAGGAATGGGGGGGGGGGGGGCAGTTCCGGGCGGCCTAGGCAGACTTGGCGCAGTGAATTTTGACACAAGCCTGCACGCAATGTGTGGGTAATGCCTGACACCGCAGAGCAGTGGCGATGGCGGGACCAAGGCACAGATGCCAGGCCAGGCCAGGCCAGGCCAGGCCAGGCCAGGCCAGGCCAGGCCAGACCAGACCAGACCAGACCAGACCAGGCGCTGGAAGTCGATTCATGGGCCAGCTGTCCCACGGCGATCACACTGCACAAGAGCAGCGACCACTCACACCGCACGCTACCGCGGCAACGTTTATGTAACCCGTCCGGTCCGGCAAGCCGCCGTTAGAGGGCGCAGCGACCTGGGAGCCGGCGTCCCGTGCGATGACCGTCAGCCATCACGCGGAAAGCCCCGCCTGTGCGGCTCCTGTCACTGTCGCCGCACCATCGTAGCGCACAGCTGACAGCCGGCGGCAGCCACAGCCCACAGCGGACGTACGGCGGCGGGCTGTCGCCGCTCGCTCTGACGGACCGCTGACAGCGCCGGCCGTCGGCTCACCCAGTCCGGTGATGACGTAGTAGCGCTGCTTCTCGTCGATGACCTCTGTGTAGCTGTCGGGCACGCCGCGGCCCCAGCCGATCGTGTAGCCCCGCACGCGGATGTTCTTGTTCTCCGGCGGCGACCACAGCACCGTGATGGTGTTCTCGGTGGGGCGCGCTACCGGCCGGACCGCGCAAGGTCAGGTCAGGTCAGGCCACGCCCAGCGACGACGAGCAATAGCGCTGGTCACTCACGTCCAATACCACCGATACTGGCGATCAGCAAATCTTTATCAGCACCCAAACTATGAAGACGATAGCAAGTTTATCGTACGCATATGGCGAGCCTTTCCTTCCCGATGTTTTACGTCTGGTCAACTTCCTTTGAAAGAAAAACTGGGATATGAATGACAAACCGTAATTTAAACAGTTTTACAATGGCCAAAACAGATGGCCTGAGCTACTTACTGTCGCACCAAAACCAAACAACTCCGCGACAATAAACCACCGGAAGAAACACGACACAGCTCACAGACACATCCGAGACAAAATCCCCCTGCCAGACCGGCGCCGCCGCACCAGCGCCGAGCCGCCGCGGCGCGAGGCCGCCGCCTCTCACCTCGCAGCGAGCCGGGCCGGTCGGGCACGGCCGCCTCCACCTGCAGCCGGTGGAAGGTCTGCGCGCCGTGCCAGCGGGTGTACGGGCCCGTGCCGTTGACGGTGAGCGCCGCCATGCGCACCAGGTACTCGGCGTCCTTCTGCAGGCCGGCCAGCGCGTAGCTGCGCCGGCTGGCGTCTGTGACGACCGTCTGCGCGCGCCGGCCGCCGCCGCCCGCCTGTGGCTTGTAGCGGATCTTGTAGCCAGTCAGCTGGCCGTTGCGGTGCTCCGGCGGCGGCGGCTCCCAGTGTACCACCACGCTCTGAAGAGGACCGAGGGAGGGGGCGTCGGAAGGGATCGGATGGCGGCGGCTCCCAGTGCACCACCACGCTCTGAGGGGGCCGCGGGAGGGGGCGTCGGAGGGGTTCTGGCAGCGGTGATTCCCAGTGTACCACCACGCTCTGAGGGGGACCGAGGGAGAGAGGGTCGGACGGGGTCTGGCAGCGGTGGCTCCTAGTGCACCACCACGTTCTGAGGGGGCCGCGGGAGGGGGCGTCGGGAGGGGGGGTCTGGCAGCGGTGACTCCCAGTGCACCACCACGCTCTGAGGGGGCTGCGGGAGGAAGCGTCGGAGGGGGTCGGATGGCGGCGGCTCCCAGTGCACCACCACGCTCTGAGGGGGACGGAGGGAGGGGGCGTCGGAAGGGATCGGATGGCGGCGGCTCCCAGTGCACCACTACGCTCTGGGGGGGGGGGGGGGGCAGAGGAAGGAGGCGCCGGAGGGAGGTCGGGCGCGCCGGCTGCGGGTTGTCCACGCGCGGCGGGTTCGATGAGGCCGTCGTTGTGGCAGTTGCAGCGATAGTCGCGTACATATGCCCGCGGCGGTGTTCCCAACAGGCCGACTACAGTAGCGCGCCACTGACTAACGTCAACAAGGTGGGGGCGGCATATCTGCAGTGCTGGCGACGAAATCGCGTCCTACAGCTCAGCAAAATAGAGCAGACTGCCTTCAGCAAAACGGAACAAAACCATGCCGGCAACGCCTAGACACCACGCACCTGCGACGAACGCGCACATGCCAAAACGAAATTAATGCCTCACCAAAACACACCAGCGCGCAGTTGACCCCACACACCACGCTGGGTCGGCGCCGCCGGATGCGCCGCGGCGGTCACTGACCGTATCGCTGGCCGTCTCGACGGTGATGTTCTGCGGCGTCTCGGAGGGCACGTCGCTCCAGGTGGTGGCGCGCGCCTCGGCCGTGCTCGGGCCCGGCCCGTTGGCGTTCACCGCCGCCACGCGCACCGTGTAGCTGGTGAACTTGCGCAGGCCGGTCAGCAGGTGGCGCGTCAGCGACGTGTTGACGGCGCGCTCCTCCTCGCCGCCCACAGACTGCGCCGACGCCCGCAGGGCAGACGGTGTGTAAGGACCTGAGCCGAGCCGCGCGAGGGAGGGGGCGGCGCGCCGGGAACAGCATAAACAGGCCCACCAGCGCTCCCCCTCCTGGCAGGGGTTCATACGCAGGACCGCCGAGGCAACCAATGGACGTGTTGGGCGCATGGGTAAAATACAGTCATTTAACGACGCAAGCAGTTGTTAAGGTTCTACACGCCAGAGCCGCACGGTCACGTCCACAGCAAGACCGTACGGCATGGCGCAATGCGACGGCTTCCGAATCATCACAAGTGGCGCTTGCGCCCATGCCACGCTTCTCTTAACTTAAACCAGTCTGGTGATCTCAACGTTCAACGTACGGCCGACTACGACAGTGCCGAACCCACGAGAGCACCAACAAAGCTCACCACCAATCCAAAAATGCAACTACCCCGCAAGCCCAAAACAGTAGCTCATCTCGCGCCCACCGCCCCGACGCACAGCTGGCGTGTCAGTGCGTGCTCGTCGCCGAGTGGTGCGGGGCGCCGGCGGTGCCCGGCGCCGCCAGCCGAGCTTCCGCGCCACCCACCGGAGCCACGTAGAGCCGGTAGCCGGCGGGCGACGGCAGCACTGGCTGCCAGCTGACGCGCAGCTGGGTGGCGCCGGCCGGCTGGAGGCGAAGCGCGGCCGGCGCCGGCGGCACCGTCAGCTCTGGCCGTGTGCGCAGGCGCAGCGGCGCGCCGCTCCTGCCGGCCGCCGCGCCCACGTTGGCCACCACGCGGAACGTGTACTCGGTGTCCGGCTGCAGACCCTGGATCTGCAGACTCGGCGAGCTGGAGCCGGCCGTCGTGTTGTGCACGCGTTGTCTGCGGCGGCAGGGTGGTGTTAAGGGGAGGCTACAGGAGTGCAGGGCGGCGGGGGTCGTGGCAGCCGGAGCCACGATGATGAGACCAAGGTCGGTCCGGACTCACGACTGAAGAGCCGTCGACGGAATCCACCCGACTCCCGGCTGGTCACGGCGCTACCCCGGCGCGAACGAATAAGACACGCTCTCGATACTCTACAGCCTTCGCCGCTCTACCCCAGCACACCGCTAAGTCAGCCCACCCAGCACCCCCAATCCGCCCAGTCCCTGCTCACTGTTGACTCACACCCCCGCCCACCAGCCATCCCGTGCTCCACCCACTCCAATCCCGCCTCCTGCCGCCGCACGCCCGCCACACAGCGTCTGCCGCACAGGCGGCCGGACGGCGCCGCCGCCTCGGCGGTGGGACCGCCGTCAGCACACAGTCCTGCTCACCTCTCCGAGCCGAGCTCGTGGTAGACGACCGAGTACGAGGTCACCGGGCCGGCGCTGTTCAGCGGCTCGCGCCAGGTCAGCGTCACGAAGCGCGAGTCGACGATGCGCGCCGTGAAGTTGCGCGGCGCGGTGGCGGCGCCGGCGGCGGCGGGCGCCGTGCCGACCGCACCCGCTGTCAGCGCCGGGCCGCCGTTACGGGCGCGGCCACTCTCTGCACGTGGGGGAGGAAGGATGGACGCGGACGGCGGGCAGGCGCGGGCCGGAAGGGAGGAAGAACGAAAACGGAGATTAGTGCTGCGTCGGCGTCGGCGCGGCGCCGGCGTACCGCGCGTCATTCAGCGGCAGACGAGGCCCCGCAGACACCGACGGATGGACAGACAGACAGAGATACAGACAGACGGACACGGCATGCGGAGTCGCCATCTCGGAGCTCACGGCAATCAACTCCACAAATACGGACACCGCTCCAGCGGGCCGGCGGCCGGCAAACCCGACGCCAATTCGGCATACAAACAGATCAAAAGTCGACAGATCTTAAAACAAAAATCACTAAGCATGAGTACGAATGGCGGCGGCGTCCGTCTCTCAAACACATGCCATTTGAGGGGATCGCACGCAGTTACCCAACCAGTGACCGCGATGGCTGACTGGGCGCCTGCGAGTCTTAAGCGCCTTCAGCCAAACTAGCTGTACTGGGATTTGCATTTCCATGCCCATATTTCTAAAGACATGTTCTTCTCCACGTCACTGAGTTGAGCAAACATGAAAACGCAAACTTAGGCGAACTTCTCTGCATGCCTACAATCTCATCCACTAATGCCAGAACAGCAAACAAAAGCATCAGGCGTAGGTAAATACGTCACGCAAGCCTGAGCGGAATTATGCAAAATGCAACGCACCAAATATGTGTTATTGTAAGCAGGTGGTATGCAAATGAGGTTTAAGCTTACAGCGAACGAGGATGTAACAGCTGTGCAGGAAGAGGAACGGTTATTTTTCCGGAACAAATTACGAAAAGTCGACACAACCAAACTGAAGCGGACGAGGTCGTTGGGGAGCAAGGGTCTTTTAGACACGACGGACGGCAGAATAGCAGCTGCTTGGGCTTCAGAAGCGAACTGTGGCCTGGCCTTGCCGATCACGAATAGCATCGGCGCGTCACAAACATGGCCATTCTTTCTCCACGTTGCCGCAAGCACAGCAATTAATCCTGGCATGAAAGTCACGCCAGCTTTGAGACCACCAATGGGCGAGTTCCTACCACGCCTTTCGGCGACATCACTTCTGCCTGCAGCCGCCAGTAACAGCTCTGAGGGAAGCGGGTACGCACACCAGGCCGGTCCAAGCGATCTGAAGCCATTCTCGTGGGGGGGGGGGGGACGCTGCCACCGGCCGGCCGCCCCACTGGCGACACCGCTACGCACATACCCGGCGCCAGGACGGTGAGGCGCGCCGCCGTCTGCACGTTTCCGGCGTCGTTGGAGGCGAAGCACTGGTAGACGCCGGCATCACGCTGTACCAGGCCCAGGATCCGCAGGCTGTGACCGTCCACCAACTGTGTGGCGAGACGGACCGGTCAGGCGGCGCAGCACGGCCGCCGAGAGCGCGGACGGCGGCGAGCCGCGAGCACACCACCCAGTCAGACACAGAGCACACGGCAGGGGTCAGACGAGAACACAGGACCACCCGAGGTTGAGGACCAGACAGGAGGAACGCGACGGAGGTCAGCCGAGGAGAACAGAGCGGGGGTCGCACGGCGGGGGTCAGGCAGAGAACACGCGATGAGTGTAGGACACCACAAACACGGCGGGGCAATGGAGAGCGGCGGCTTCCGCACCCCAACACTACGACCAACGCCTCACATACAAACCGACCCTGGCACACTGATCGCCACGGAGCGCAGCCCCCGTAAGAAACCCCGGTGGACCTCCGACCACTGCCGCAGCCACCAGCCTCACACACCTCGCTTCCCCGCGCCTCCGCTGTGCACCGGCTAACGCTGCCCGCTAGCCTCGCCCGAGCGACGCCCCCCCACGGCAGGCGACGTTTGGGGTCCGCAGGCGCGGCACCAGCGCAACGGCACTACCGACGGCACCAGCGCAACGGCACCACCGACGGCACCAGCGCAACGGCACCAGAGCAACGGCACTACCGACGGCACTAGCGCAACGGCACCACCGACGGCACCAGCGCAACGGCACCGACGGCACCAGCGCAGCAGCATCACAGACAGCGCCGGCGAGCGGCACCCACCTTGAAGTAATCCGAGTTATGCAGTCGTTCGCCGTTCTTGGTCCAGGTGATGCGCGGCGGCGGCGAGCCGCGCGCGCTACACGACAGCTCCACGTCCTCCTTCTCGGCGGCGGCCGTCTGGTTCGGCCGCACCACAAACTCGGGCGGCACTGGAGCCACGGCACCGGCAGGTCAGCACCCGGCCAGCGCGCCTCGGGACGGGCAGCGTACGTGGGCAATGGGTCGGGAGAATGGGCTCCCATGGCTTGTCCACGGAGGCACTCGGGACACGCTGGCTAAGCCGTGCCTGCCGTATCCGTATGTACCAGCCGCATCGAGAAGAACAAAAGCAAATGATTAACAGGGGCCTGAATATGAAAAACAAAAATAAGTATTCACACCCATGGGAAGATGTGCGAGATGTTTCTGAGCTGCGCGACACCCAAAAGAGACAAGGCGACAATCCGCCGTGCCGTTACGCGGTTTAAAGCCGCCCGTCTCCAGCACCAGACAGCACCGCACCCACTCCTCCGCCGCCCCACGCACCGCGCCCGGCGGCCCGTCAGTCGCCCGGGCCGTCAGTCGCCCGGTGGCCCGCCAGTCGCCCGGGCCGACAGTCGCCCGGTGGCCCGTCAGTCGCCCGGGCCGTCAGTCGCCCGGTGGCCCGCCAGTCGCCCGGGCCGACAGTCGCCCGGTGGCCCGTCAGTCGCCCGGGCCGTCAGTCGCCCGGTGGCCCGTCAGTCGCCCGGGCCGTCAGTCGCCCGGCCCGTCAGTCGCCCGGGCCGTCAGTCGCCCGGGCCGTCAGTCGCCCCGTGGCCCGTCAGTCGCCCGGGCCGTCAGTCGCCCGGGCCGTCAGTCGCCCGGTGGCCCGCCAGTCGCCCGGGCCGTCAGTCGCCCGGCGGCCCGCCAGTCGCCCGGGCCGTCAGTCGCCCGGTGGCCCGTCAGTCGCCCGGGCCGTCAGTCGCCCGGGCCGTCAGTCGCCCGGGCCGTCAGTCGCCCGGGCCGTCAGTCGCCCGGTGGCCCGTCAGTCGCCCGGGCCGGCCGTCGCCCGGGCCGTCAGTCGCCCGGGTCGGCCGTCACCCGGGCCGTCAGTCGCCCGGCGGCCCGTCAGTCGCCCGGGCCGTCAGTCGCCCGGGCCGGCCGTCGGCGCGGCGCAGGCAAGGGCGCGCACCTTTGACATGCAGCACGGCGCTGGCGTCGGCCGAGTCGACGGAGTTGAAGACGCGACACTGGTACGTGCCAGAATCCTCCTCGTGCACGTCCACGATCTGCAGGCTGCTGACGCCCAGCAGGTAGAAGCGCCGGTCCAGGTACCTGCGGATGACGGAGGGGCGAGGTCGCGGTGACTGACGGGAGCCGAGGGCGAAATGGGGCTGACGAATGCGAGAAGGTCCCAGGCAACAGCGGAGGGGCGAGGTCGCGGTGCCAGCCAAAGAAGGACGGGTGGGACGCGGTGGCTGCCGCTGGAGAAGCGAGGTCCGGGTCCAATAAATGAGGACCTGCAGTCGACCTGCAGAGGACCTGCTGGTCGACCTGCAGTCAGCCGACTGCCACTTTCATCAGCGGCACCACCTAGTGCATGCCGAGGTAGCCCTGCAAGGTCTATCCCGCACTCAAGTCTCAACACACGCCAGTAAACCACAGGGCCGTCTGGCCCACCACGCGAGCCCAGCTCCGTTGCGTCTCCGATTATTCCCCGACCGTGCGCCCGTCACCTTCGCCGCCGCCGCCGGCCGGGCCACTCACGAGAGGTCGATGGTGGTGCCGTCCTTGAGCCAGGTGACCTGCGGCCGCGGCCGGCCGTTGGCTGCGCAGTCCAGCGTCACGTTGTCGCCGCGGCGCGCCTCCGTGTCGGCCGGCCGGGCCACGAACCGCGGCGCCGCCGCCGCGTCCACCTCGTCTGCAACCGGAGCGGGGTACCGTCAGGCGGCGATGGTCCGCGGGCGACCCGAGCCGGCGTCAGACGGGACACTGACGTGGACACGGGACGAGTAGTCGACGTCAGACGGGACACTGACGTGGACACGGGCAGGGTAGTCGGCGTCAGACGGGACACTGACGTGGACACGGGCAGGGTAGTCGACGTCAGACCGGACACTGACGTGGACACGGGCCGGGTGAGGGACTTCGACTGGGCCGGTCTGGGCCCACCCGGCGCAGCGTCAGCTTCACCCCAGCTGGTCCAGTCCGCCCGCGCTGGGCACGATCTAGGGACCTGCGTCGGCACAGCAACACCGCAGACTGCTGTGCCGCAGAACAGCATAACACTGTGGCTGACGCAGCAGCGTCGCCTCCATCCAGCACAACAGTCAGACTGCGCCGCACTCGGCACCATCCGCCTGTGCCGCAGAAAACGGCGAGAGCACGCGGAGCACTCAGCCACGCCTGCTCGCACGCACACACTATCGTATGCTGACGTACTTATTAAAAACAAGATGCCGGATTTTACAAACAGCCGCTCGTTCGCGCCGCAGTCACCTCGCCGTTGTTTTCTTTGCGCCAGAGTGTGTTTCCCACAAGTTCCCACGAAAAGTTGTCTTTTCTCCTGGCATCGCGTTTTCGCGTGAGCGATTGGTTCCATGACTGCAGATACACCGTACCAGTACCTTTTTAAACACACCTGCAGGCCAGGCCAAGGGCCCGACAATCTCATAATCGGCAGGTACAGACAGAGATAGCACCGCACCTGAGCGTACAGACAAGAGGGAAAACCACCTCCTACCAATCAGCCACGACAGCATCGTACAACTAAGCCTTTTAAAGTCGGCACATCTCGTGTCCCCGCCGGGCGGGGTTTACGAGCTAAGCTCGTCATCAGACACGTCACGTGACAGGTGCACCGTGTGACGATGGCGAGTCCAGCGGACACTAGCAGGGCACCGCCAAACGAGCACGCCGGCGGCTTTTCCCAGCAATGGCATCGATTACGCGAAAGAAACACCGTGCCATGGGATACAGCTCGATATGTCGTATGGCCCGCAATGACAAGTTACGCCGTGACCAATGACTTGGCTGCACAAGAGCCGCGGCAATTCCCTGGACCACGCCGCACGCAACGTCATCATTGCTCCGCACCGGCCGGTTGGTTTCAGCGGTCTTTAACGCCCGACTCGCCAACAGTCGTCTGAACGGGAGGACGTCAGAGCACGTCAACACGTGCGTGTACCACTGAGCCAGGCAGCAATTCATCAGTGATCTACAACAAACAGGAGAGCGGCCACGCCGACACACACCGCTTTCAGCGCCGAGCCGACGGCACGGACCGTTTATTGTCCGCCTGGCCGACGGACAGGCAGCACGGCCGCCCAGCAACCCCCCCCCCCCCCCGCTCCCCATCGCCTGCCCATATTTGTCCGCAGTTGCGAAACGGCCGGAACACCTTTCTGCATTCCGGCATTGCATGCAAGCCTGCACGATAGCAGTCGGCGGCAGCCTTGGTGGGCACGTGCGGGCACGGCCATCGGTCAGGGGCTTCGGATATTATGCAAACAAATGTAAACAGCATTCCGTCCTGATCCGGACCGACACCACGCGACTGACGACTGCGCCCAAGCGACGCGACTGCATTAAGTGAGACCGGCTGAACGGCTTACGATAGCAGCTGCCCCACCGTCAAATGGCCCACGTACGCCCATGTACGGCCCCCGGCCCGGCCACTGGCACTTCACACTCAAGCGCACGAGCTCTGAACTACAAGGTGAAATAGGCTAGAACACCAGCTGGGCCCACGGGCGGGGAGCGGCGCTGGTGCACTGCCCAGTCCCATCGAGCCACCGCGGCCACAGCCCAGGTCGGCGGTGGCTGCCGGCCGGCTCCCTCCGCGGTTGGGCACACCGAGCCATCGCAGCCACAGGCCGGTCAACAGCGGCTGCCGGCTGGCTCCCTCCCGCTCCCGCTCACGCCCGACCCTTGCAGCGGACCAGCGCGGCCGTACGCCCCGACTCCACAGCCGCCACCGACGCGCCGAGGCAGCGAGCGTGCCCGGTCGGTGCGGTGGCCGTCTGCCCGGCGCGGGGGGCGTCGCTCGCCGGCACAGAAGCCGTGACGAGGGCGGACCGGGCCCCGCGCGCAGGCCCCGCCCGACCCCGCCCACCAGCGCGGGCTCGCGTGTGCCGTGCCCTGCCAGGTCGGGTGGAGCCGCCGTGCCGCGGTTCAGCCAGCCGATCCATCTCGCCGTGCCAGCCCTCGCACGGCCGAACGACCTCAGCTCGCCCCTGTGACCTGCGCCGCGGTCGGTCCCCGCCGCGTGCGTGACGGCGCCGCTGACCGCGGCCGAGCGGCACCGAGGCCGGGCGCGCAGCTGGCGGGTCCGGCGGTTCCGGAGCCGACCCGCGCCCCGCCCCAACAATGCCGTGCCGCGAGGGACGTCCGTCCGTCTCCTGTCCGCGGCGCGACTGGTGCTCGCGTGTCGAGGCAGAGTCCCGTGCAGCCGGTGGACGACGGAGAGACACGTGCTTCTAGAGACATCCGGCGCCTGATACACATCTTTCTTCTCAACCACCATAAAATCGGGTGGACATGAGTACACGTGGCACCCGTTCAAAGCCCACCAAACGGATCTGAGTGCCGCTCGCAGCAATGGCCGCGGCCAAAAATAGACAGGCTCCGTCCGCAGCGTTTCGAAACGAGCACAATCACCGGGAGAGGCCGAGCCATTCCGCAATCACGGCACCAGATGTTCACCGAACAAAACCTATCGACCTGTTCGCCGGAATGCGTGCCCGAACGCCGTACGTGCATGATGCAAGTCTAGTTGTGCACCCTTAGAGTGGTATCATGAGCATGACAAAGTTTGCTTACTTGCAACATCGTTAGCACAGCGCGGACCCTCTCACATGAATGGTGTCAATCATGCTAAAGCACTAACAGTTGCATAACAGCTCATTTGGGTTCAGATCGGAGCCATTCATCTCCACTTAGAGATAAGTGCATGCAATCGCACAGCCGTAATGTTGCCGGTCCTCAGCTAATGCCCGACCACAACCACAGACCACAGCAGCTACGCCGAAGTGATCATGACCCGCTGCCTTTCCAAAGCGCCTTCCCACCGAATGAATGGCTGCGCGGCAACGGCCGCCGCCGCCCGCGGCTCTCGCCAGCGGCCGCCGCCCGCCGCTGGCCGAGTGCCCGGCCGCCTGCAGGCCCCCCGCTCCCGCGTGGCGCCCGATTGCCACTCAGTTGCGAAACTTTTTGCATTGGCAGCCCATAAACGCGGCGGCAAAAACGTGACGGCGCGAGAATTGACGCTGGCAGACGGACCGTCGGTTAGCTCTTTGGTGCGTTCGTGGATCGCCCGGAAATTTGTCGTTTCTCCGACCTCTAGCGCCCACTTCATCTTCAGCCTCCCTCATAATCATCTCTCTTTCTCCCCTGTGACTCTTTCCCTTCCTCCGGCGCCCAGCCTTCTCCCTCTTCTCCTCCTCTCGCCCTCTGTCTGTCGCAGCCTCCCACATCCGCCTGAACATCGATTAGCGGTGTAAAAAGCGCACGCCGGTGACACCGGAGTCGAAAACACCAGCGGCGGCGGGGGAGCGGGCGCGCCGCGTCGGCTCCACGCCACTCAACAGGCTGCCACAGCGGCGTCCTCGGACGCACCACACACACGGCGGCGGCGACCCGCGGCCACGCCGTCAGAACACCCGCCGCCGGATGTCCCACACGCGAAACACGCCGCAGCGCACCGCCCGACGACGGCCGCCTGACTGATTGGCTCCTGATGCAGAGCAGGACTCGGAGTCTGTTGCTTTAAGGACGGGGTCCCCATTAATATCATGCAAAGCGCGGCAGTGGGCGGCGGGTGCCGGGTTTAATGTTCTGGTGGATGAAGACAGATGGACTGTTCGCCCCTACGTCTGCAGCCCCCATAAATAACTTGAAGTTAATGTAAAGATCTTATTACTCGAGACGAGATGACGCCGTCCAGATCCGGCTGAAAATGAACTCCAAACCAAAACCCAACCACCACCAGAGCACATCCCACACGCCACAAAACAGTGCTTCAGGAAGGATACTGAGTGCATATTTTAAAGAAAACTGGGAGACCTGGATACGTGACATACGCACGACGCTGTTTTTTTCTGCTTAAGCCCAGATTATATATATATATATATATATATATATATATATATATATATATATATATATATGAGCAGTAGGTACCAACGCAACCATCCACCACCACCATCCTAGCAACATCGTCCCTTCAAGCAGCAGCTATCATGGAGCAAGCGCAGCCGCACTTGATGAAACGCAACGTCCGCTTCGCCGACAAAACAGACTTGCGGTCGGTCGATGGCGGGCTGCTCTCAGCCCGGTCAGCGGGGCGGCCGGGGCGGCTGAGGGACTCTGCGTCAGACCAGCGTCTCGCTGCAGCGCTCCGACCTGACCAGACCGGCCGGGGTCAGACGGAGGGCAGGGCCCCTGACCCTGCAGTCACCGGGGCGTCACCACGTGACACGAGACGCCGGACCGTCTGAGCCGGCACGTCCGCTCCGGAGCCACCGAGCAAACCCCGCACTCCTCAGCCGGCGCCAGGCCGGAGAGACAGACAGAGGCAGCAGGCCGACGCCGGAAGGACGCCACCACGGCACGCCACGCCGCGAGCCCACGCCCGCCCCGCCGACTAATGAGCCCATACCCCGAACGCGACGGCCGGACCATGTCTGAGCCAGCAGCTGCCGCCCGGACCGGACCTCGGGCGCGGACCACGCCCGGCCCAGTCGGCGCTGGGGCGGCCGCCGACTCCTCGCGGACGCGTATTGATTACCCTTGAGCCGGTCGCACCGGGGCGCGCTCGGGCGTCGCGCGTCTTCCCGCGCGCCGCCTCCGAGGGGCGCGACGGGGGGGGGGGGGGGGCATCCGACCGGGAGCAACGCCGGCTGATGCCGCACCGCTCAGCCAACAGAGGCGGACATCACGGCAGCGCCCCGGATCGCGGCCTCTCGCGCCGCCACAATAAGCCATTAGCTGAGTCAATACGCCGGTGAAAAGTCCCGCTTGCGGCCGGCAAACGCGGCCGACGACGGGGCAAAAAGGGCCCCGCAAAAACGGGGGCCGTCGCTGGACAGTCGGCCGCCAGGTGCGCTGATGGCGCGCGCTCGCCGCGTCCCAGATCGGCCTCCGCGCCCGTGCGTGCAGTGCCAACCGATGCGCCGATACTGAGCTCGCAGCTAGAGAGGCGCCGCGGAAGACAGACGGCTGATGCCTCGGGCTTCCTTTCACTGCAGACCGATCGAATAAGCGATTATTGATAGTGCATTGCTTACGCAGCGAGGCACAGCATCCTCCCGAGGGCTCACTGGAAAGAAAAGCATCATAACCATGGCCGGTTTATATGGCCATGCAAGGTGTCATTTTCCAGGTCTCCGCCCGTTGGCCAGCTGCCGCCCCACACCGCCATGCCCGGCCAGACGGCCGTCGCAGGGGAGCCGCCCCTCCGCCCTCCACTAACACAATCACCGCGCTACGGAACGGCGCGCCGCGGTCGCCGGCCGGGCCCGTGCGTCACGCGGCAGCCGATCGCCGCCGGCTGTGTCCCCCGGTGGCACAGCGGCCGCTCGAAGCCCGCCTCCAGCGTCGGCTGCGGCCGACCCGGCCGGCCCGGCGGGGAATCAGGGCTGAGCCGCCGCGGCCGAACGCGCCCCGCGGCTCATCGTTAACGGCCGCCCGGCGCCGTGTCGGCCGGCGTCAAACGCGCGCTAACGGCGCGCCAAAAACGCCGCCGGTGATTGCCGACCGAGCGGCGCATCGATCCCCAGGTGCGGCCAGCGCCGACGGCTGCCGGGGCGAGCCCCGCTTCACAGGCAGCCGCCAGCTTCGCTCTGACGGAGCGCCGCTGGCGGCCGGACAGCCCGGCCAGCCACCGGAGCGGGCAGCCGCCAGCTCCGCTCTGACGGAGCGCCGCTGGCGGCCGGACAGCCAGCCGGCCACTCCGGATTCGCCGATCCGTCTTATCCGGAGTCATTGCAGCCGCCGATAAGGTGCAGGCCGGGGTGATATGCCCGTCGAGACGCTTTAAGGCAGAGGCCGGGGCGATATGCCCGTCGAGACGCTTTAAGCCCCGTCAGACAGCAGCTCTGTTTCACATCCGGTCGTCGCGAGACCCTGGCACAACCTCCAGTATCTCTGCGACCCCCGGTATCGTTACAGTTCAGTGTGCAGCGTTATCCGTCGGGCGAGGCCGTCGCACTCGGTAACACGAACTTGGAGGTCTCGACATCCTAATTAGATCAGCTTAGATCAGCGGTTGGTTAAGAATCGTTGTCGAAGGGCAGCGGATATTTTTTTTTTTGCATTGCCGCAGAACGGTCCATTCGTTTCAAGCGTTGACAACGCCGGTATGTGAGCTAACACGAACTACATGTCGGAAGATGAAACGCGGGATAGAAAACTTGACACGCTTCTGGCTGACAGCAAATTTACTGTCAACCATTCGTACGCAAAATCTGCTGACAATAGGCGCAACAAACGCTGCAGTGACGTCTCTACACACTCCGTGAAGTCCGTAGTCCCCCATAAAAATGTAAACATTCCGATCAGCATGAAACGCGTCGTCGTGAGTTTGTTTTGGTTTTCGGAAGCCCGGCACGGCCCGGAGACAAGTCGGAAGATGAATCGCGGGATAGAAACCTTGGCACGGCTCTGGCCGACAGCAAATTTACTGTCATCCCTTCGCACGCAAAACCTGTTGACAATAGGCGCAACACACGCTGCAGTGACGCTTGCACAGTGCGTGAAGTCTGTAGTCCGCTATCAAAAAATGCAAACACTCCAATCAGCATGAAACGCGTCGCGAGTTTGTTCTGGTCTTCGGAAGCGATATCTGGCTGCAGCCACGCCATAAAATGACTACTAGCCGTAAACCCCGCGGCGAACGATGCCATCCGCGGCATCACACTGCCCCATTTCCAGCCCACCAAAGCCAAATCGTCCCACCGCGGGTCTCAGAAGCGGACCCTCACCCGCGCCACGCCGACCACCGGCGGCCGCCGCCGACCGCAGAGCACGCGGGAGCCGACCAGCACGCGGGCCGGTGGCATGCCGAGTGCCATTAGACGCCGTGCGCCGGAGAGACTCCCAGCAACATTCCTCGGGGTCTGTCGGCCACCGCCGACCTCGCGTGGCCGCTGGGTGACGGCGGCCGCCGTCGCCGAGGAGCCGGCACCAGCTGGGGCCGAGGCGCCCAGCGGCAGCTCACAGTGGCCCGTCCCCTTGACAGCGCTACTGGCCAGATCGCTCACCCGACAGGGCACCGAAGGCCGGGCCATTGCGCGACGCAAAACCTCGATCGCGCATGCGCCGCATATACATGCAAATAGAAAGCACTCATAAGTGAGGATTACAAACCTGCAATATATGATAAATTAGCCATATGCTAATTAACAGCATCGCCAAACCATTTTGGGGGACTATTTTAGAGAAGGCCTGGCCATTGCTGCTAAACCTAAACCGCTCGCCCGACCCTCGAACAGGGGTTGCGAGCGCCACCTCGCCAACCCGCTCACCGAAGTTAACGTTGATCCTCAGCTGCGTGCGCGGTCCGAGCTCGAAGCCGCGCACGTTGGTGGCGCGACAGACGTACGCCCCGGCGTCCTGCATCTGGACCTCGTCCAGCTCCAGCGCGCCCGAGGGCAGCACCAGCATGCGGGACGAGTCGAGCGCCAGCGGCTGGTCGTCCCGGAGCCAGGTGACGTCGGGCGGCGGCCGGCCGCGCACGCCGCACTCGAAGCGCGCCGTGTCACCCAGGAACACGGTCAGCTCGGCCGAGCGGGGCCCCACCGCCGACAGCTCTGCGGTACAGGGAGCACGGTCAGGTCTGAGGCAGGGGACACGGTCAGGTCTGAGGCAGGGGACACGGTCAGGGCGGAGGCAGGAGACACGGTCAGGACTGAGGCAGGGGACACGGTCAGGTCTGAGGCAGGGGACACGGTCAGGTCTGAGGCAGGGGACATGGTCAGGGCGGAGGCAGGGGACACGATCAGGTCTGAGGCACGGGGCACGATCAGGGCTGAGGCAGTAGACACGGTCAGGGCTGAGGCAGGAGACACGGTCAGGTCTGAGACACGGCACACGGTCAGGTCTGAGGCAGTAGACACGGTCAGGGCTGAGGCAGGGGATACGGTAAGATGTCCAGCACGGGACGCGGTCAGACCTGTAACATGGGACCCGCCGGCTCTGCAACACGGCACGGGGAAGATCTGCAACACAGGACATCGTCAGCTTTGCAACACAGGACGAGGCCAAATCCGCGAACCGAAACAGACTGTCAGCCCAGCCGACACAAGCAAATGGCGGCAATGCGCGTCGCCGTCAAAAGCAACTTGATCACTTGAAACCAAAACACGCAAGGTTCGCACATACGGGAAGTACATACAAATATTGGTAAGCTTGGCTCGGATCGCCATTTCCATAACGCAGAGAGACCAGCACAGTAGTCATGTGGTCCGCTGCCTGATTTGGTACGTGGGCCGCCAGCCATTCGAACAACACAAAGGTTCGCTCTCATCCAGAGGCAGTAGGCTCCAGGTGGCCTCCACACGGACCAGGGTGCCCCAGCCTGCACCCCAGCTGACGTCCGTGACCTTAAGGCGCGGCTGCAGACCACGAGAGCCCGCCACCCTGCCCACTGCTCGTCTCAGCACGGAGACCGATCCGCGCCGGCCCGTCGCGCCCCAAGCAGGAGAGGTCATGGGCCGCCGTGGCGTGAGGCTTCCCACCGCCCATCAGCCTCGGGCGAGAGGCGAGCAGTGCCCGCCGTCTCGGACCCTCAGTCGCCACGGCACAAGTCAGAGTGCAGGCAGGCCAAACTGGTTCCACGGATCCCTCGCTGGCCGCACCGCGACCTCCGCGCCGGGCCAACTTTACGAGCCAGCGGTGCCAGCGGAGGTCACGTGCGCCGCCCGCCTCCACCACCAGCTGAGAACGACTTCGCCAGATGGCCACCGTTCCGGAGCGGCGCGAGCGTGACCGGGTCGTGGCCCGTGTCCCGCCATGAGCCCCGGTCCGCGCCGACTTTGACGTGACCCCCGACGTGGCGGCGGTTGCCAGGCGGCAGCGCGGCACGGCCGAGCGTCGCCGCGCCGGGGGCAGCGCCAGAGGTCAGCCGGTGGGGATCGATCCTGGCGACGGCCGCTGCTGACCGCCGACTCCCGCGGCGGCGGCGGCGGCGGCGGCGGCGATGGGCTGAGCACGTGCACCGCTGCCCCTGCACGCCCGGCAGCCGTGACGTCAGGGGCGGCCCGGCGAGCGCCGCCCTGCCGCCGGGCCTTGTCGAGCGCGGCGCCGGTGGCCTCGGTCCGGTTCGGCTGACGCTCGTCCCCACGCCCCGACAAGCGGTGGGAGGCGATATCGTTTCGTGGACCAGACTGCCAGCGGCCTCGACGGAATGAGCGGTAATCCCAGGACCAGCCGGGCCAGCAGAGGTGAGGGAAATGACCGCAAAATCGAGCCATGTGTTTTTAAAGCTTTCAGACGGCAATCTCGGGCGGGCTAGTCGGTGGTCTAGCTGACGATTAAAGTCAAACCTGAGCAGAATGTCAACGACCTTGATGACTTCTCGCGTGACGGCAGCTAAGCCGACTTCGCTCGCGTTGGCACATAAATGTTCAATTCACCCTTACGGCTGCCACCTGTTCAGCGTATCAGGGTCAGAGCATGGCACTCACCACCCGACTGATGAAGCTCAAGATCACGTTTGACCTGATCTGAGTTTAGCTCCTCCCACCTGAAATCATCACGGACCGCAGTATGGCGCCACCTCACTCACCTGCCAGCCGCAGCGACCTGACGAGACCTGACCTGACACGTCACGCACCTGCCAGCTGTAGCGACGCAGTCCTGCTGAGCAGAATGCCGCCGGCGGGCAGAGTAACCTGGCACTGGTAGTCGCCCGCGTCCGCCGGCCGCACCGCCAAGAAGTGAAGCGAGCCGTTGGCCAGCAGTTTCCTGTCGACACAGCGGCGGCAGGCGTCAGCGGCGTCAGCGGCGCGGCGCGGCCCGGCGACAGCTCCGGGCCGCAGGTCGACGCGCCGGAGCCGACCGCTGCACAACTTGTCTCCGAACGGGCCATCAGTCACGCTGCCAACCGCCCAGCCGTGTCATCTTATGCAGCTCTCGATGTTATGTTACGATACATACGCTGCTTACTTATACAGGCTCTAGTCGGCGGGGGAGGGCGGGGGGAAGGGGTACTTAGCGGGGAAAGCACAAGCAGCTGAACCGTGCGTAGGCAATATACGTACACAACAGAAACGACGCCACACGAGTGGAGCATAACCGGCATCCACCGTATGAACAAGCGTCGTGAACAGCGGCCGACCGAACGGCTGACCAAGCCAATATCATCCTGTGCACGAAGCTGTGACAAATAGCGGGCAGTTTTCGTCGCGGTTCATCTCCCACGATGCATAATGCAAGCAACCAGCTGACTTATGCCTCTGGCGTCTGCTCCGCACGCCGGGCCTGCGCGGCGACTTAATCCGGCGTTTGCCACGCATCACGCGTCCCTGTATCATCCCGACGGGCCCTTTGTCCGGCGTTGTCCATTCCGGCTTCACAATCCCGCGTCAGCACAATGGGTCCGGCTTATGCAGCCGTCCGCGCCGGCGGCTCTATGGCGCACAGTGCCGACTCAAGGAGAAAGCTGGGGATCCCGGCAGTCAGGGCCCGAGGACAGGGTCAGGGATCCCGACAGCCAGGGCCCGAGGAGAGGGTCAGGGATCCCGACAGCCAGGGCCCGAGGAGAGGGTCAGGGATCCCGTCAGCCAGGGCCCGAGGAGAGGGTCAGGGATCCCGACAGCCAGGGCCCGAGGACAGGGTCAGGGATCCCGACAGTCAGGGCCCGAGGACAGGGTCAGGGATCCCGACAGCCAGGGCCCGAGGAGAGGGTCAGGGATCCCGACAGCCAGGGCCCGAGGAGAGGGTCAAGGATCCCGTCAGCCAGGGCCCGAGGAGAGGGTCAGGGATCCCGTCAGCCAGGACCCGAGGGGAGGGCCAGTGGTCCCGGCAGCCAGTGCTCGGGGAGAGGGTCAGGGATCCCGTCAGCCAGGGCCCGAGGAGAGGGCCAGTGGTCCCGGCAGCCAGGGCCCGAGGGGAGGGTCAGGGATCCCGTCAGCCAGGGCCCGAGGAGAGGGTCAGGGATCCCATCAGCCAGGGTCCGAGGAGAGGGTCAGGGATCCCGTCAGCCAGGACCCGAGGGGAGGGCCAGTGGTCCCGGCAGCCAGTGCTCGGGGAGAGGGTCAGGGATCCCGTCAGCCAGGGCCCGAGGAGAGGGTCAGGGATCCCGTCAGCCAGGGCCCGGGGAGAGGGTCAGGGATCCCGGCAGCCAGGGCCCGGGAGAGGGCCAGGGATCCCGGCATCCCGGGCCCCAGGAGGAGGCCAGGCAGCTAGGGCCAAGAGGAGAGGGTCGGTGATCCGGGCGGCCCAGGCCCAAAGAGAGGGCCAGGGACCCTGGCGGCCTGGGACCGACGCCACGTGTCTGGAGTCCGTGCCGCCACGGCAGTGGCCTGAACACCGGCATCGCCACGGCCGTCTGGCTCCGAACGGACGAGAGAGCAGCGGTGAGGGGTCCTCACGCGGCTGAGGAACCTCACGCCACCCCGGCCGGTGACGCGGCCGGGCTTGCCCGTCAGGCGTGTGCGTGCGCCGCCAGGGGCCGTCTGGCACGGTGAGGGGTCCTCACGCGGCTGAGGAACCTCACGCCACCCCGGCCGGTGACGCGGCCGGGCTTGCCCGTCAGGTGTGTGCGTGCGCCGGGCGGAGCGGCGCCTGGCAGGGTGATGACAGCCCACAACGGCTCGCGACAGCGCCGGCTGACGCGCAGCGTGCGGCCGGACGTGGCCGGACCTGGACGTGGACGCGGACGTGGCTGAACTTCGCGCGGTGATGGCGCAAGTGCTCCAGGTGCTCGGCCGCACACCGCTCGAGGCAGAGGTGCACGGGACCGATACTGTGCATCTAAGGCAAGCACAGAAAACCGTTCCCGAGCCGAGACAACGACATGACGCGGCCCTGATCGCCGAGTTTGGAACTGGTAGCAACGGACGTCTGAGATAACATATCAGGTGATGTCCCGCTCATTAACAACGCACGGACGAGCGCGTGATACAGCGCACGGCCACACTCTGCAAACGCCGCCGAGTGGGCTGACAGTGACCCGACACACCACGTCTTCAGATGGAGCCTGTGCAGGCGACACCGAACCGCAAGATAGCCCTTGTCACTCCGAGCGCGCAATAAATCACTCTCCATCTCTCTCTCTCTCGCGACAGGCGGCGGCCACGACCGCACACCCCGCCCGGTGCCCACTCATCCGGCCGCGACACGTCGTGCGGTGGCCGCGCGGCGTGGAGCGGACCGCGGCGCCGCCGGGTCCCCGGCCGCCGGCTGCGGCGGCGCGCCCGAGACGCCGGCCACGATCCCGTCCGCTCTGCACGCCCGGCGCGGAGCGGGGCGCCGCGGCGCCGCTCCCGCACGGTGATAACACGGCCGGCACCGGCGACAGACCGCCGCCGGCCGAGCACCGGCTGGGGACAGGGATGAGCTGTGTGTATACGAGGAGGGTTGCAAGAGTACGGAGGACAGCACTGGGTTATGTAGGCTCCTGGCCGTCGAACATCGGATAGGGTTCCGACGGTGGCTACCTAGCGTCAATCATATCTGAGTATTATGAAGGTAAGTATCATATCTATGTACCCCATCGGGTAAGCGCCACGTCACAAAGGACATAGCCATTCACAGATCCCACTTTACAGGGGTGAGGCCTGCGACGGTGATATCATGGTAGGACGTCCTTGTCCGAGGAGCATGTACACTGCAGCCCGCCGGCTGTCAGTCGGCCGCCGCGGACCGCCCAGCTAAGCCTGTGGCGCCGTCGAACATCACCGCGCGGTCGGGCACGACCGCCGCGCCGCCGCCGCCCGCCCGCTGAGCAGAGCCGCCGCCCGCCTGCTGCGCCGCGCCGTCACGCTCCGCTTCGGCGCCGCAGACGGCGGCGCACCGCGACCCACCCGAGCGCGCCCCGCGCAGTGGCGTCGGGGCGGCGGCGCGTCCGTGGCGCGCCCTGCCACCAGCCGAGCGCGGCTGCGAGCGAGCCGGCCGGCAGCGACGCCGACGCCGACGCCGCGGTCGCAGGCCGGCCAGCCGCGGCCCGCTCCAGCGCCGATCGACGGCGTCGTTCCGTTGCCAAGCAGACCGCGACGCTGACGCGCAATAACGGCGTTCGACCGCCGGCTTTTCGGCCGAGACCATCCATCTCCCCCGGCCCACTTGTTGCACATTAATGGACCTCACGCGCTCCAGCCTTGGTCAAATTGAGACGGACCGCCGCGCGTGGCTCGGCCGCCTCCGAGGCCGTTCGGCGCCGCTCGCCAGCCGAGACGGTGTCTGCGGTGCAGGCCGGGCCGCTGTTGTCGCGACGGCACCGGCGCGGCACGGCGCCGACAGCAACGCCGACAAGGCGTCCGCGAGACGCGACCCAGGTTCATGCCGCATTCCGCGCATCCTGGCGTGTTTATGACACTGCGCTGAGTGACGCCGACGGGACTGGCGGCGGCGGCGGCGGCGGCGGCGGCGGCGGCGGCGGCGGCGGCGGCGGCGGCTCAGAGGCCGGAACAAAGCGCGCCGGGTTGCCAGCGGCTGACCCGACGCCGCGCATACCGCCATGCCAGCTCCGCCCGCCGGCATGTCAACACCGAACGACGCGACGGCTTTGGCAGTCGCGCCGCCGAGTCTGCCGGCTTTCCGTCACCACGTGAATAGTGCTGCTTTTCACCACAAGCGGCCGGGTCGGCGCCGTCCTGCGGCAGCGAGGCTCCGGACCAGGCCATGCTCCGGGCTCGAGGCTCCGGACCAGGCCAGGCTCCGGGCTCGAGGCTCCGGACCAGACCATGCTCCGGGCTCGAGGCTCCGGACCAGGCCAGGCTCCGAGCTTGGGACGCTGGACCAGGCCATGCTCCGAGCTCGAGACGCTGGACCAGGCCAGGCTCCAAGCCCAGGCCCCGGGCCAGGTCAGACTCCGGGCTTGAGGCTACGGGCCAAGGTAGCTAATCGTCCAGACGAGTTAACATCTGACGGACACAAACGACTGACAGCCACGCGATTGGTCGGGGCGGCTCAGCAAAGCTTTCGTGTTGAGGCAAACAAACTGAACAAATTTCCCCTGGCCCAATGTAAGTCAGCAATTAGCAGTTGGCCAGGAAGCATAAATATCGTGATTCACCAGCATTGGCTGTGATATACATCTGCCCAACGACTTCTGTGGCATTCAGGGCCATCAGCATGGCAGTTTCTCACATCGTTTGCCCAGCGTAATACAGTAGTCAGACAGTTGAACTTACCGCGTGCACTGCAGCCACAGGCCTCTGCATCCATGCCAAGCCGCGGAACAGTTCGCACAACCCTGGTCAAATCTAATTTTGAATTTTAATTACAAGCCACGAACGGCGGCATAAATGAATATGGGAGCACTTCTGGTGGCGTTTCCCTGTGGCACTGCGTGATCTGCTCCTATTCACGGCCGAAAACGGGGGGGGGGGGGTGGTGGGGATCATGAGCAACACCAACGGACGCTTCCCCGTCTGGTACCACTCCAAACCTCACACTCAGCTGCCGGCGACCACACACGTCGCGCGCGCGAGGAGCCACTGGCGCGCCGATAAGCGCGTGCGGAGCCGCTCGCTGCGAATCAGCCCTCGTCCCCTTCGACAGCGCCTGCCGTGTGCTGACGCCGGCAGACCCGTCCGCGTCCGCCGGGCCGGGGCCCCGGTCTGTCGCCGGCAGACCCGTCTGCGTCCGCCGCGCCGGGACCCCGGACTGACGCCGGCAGACCCGTCCGCGTCCGCCGGGCCGGGGCCCCGGTCTGACGCCGGCAGACCCGTCCGCGTCCGCCGGCCCGGGACCCCGGTCGCGCTGAGTTGATTCGACACACGGTCTCGCGTGCGGGAAAGCCACTTGGCTCGGGAGTGGCCGTCGGCGCCGGGCGCTGATCCGCTCCACGAAAGCCGCACATAAATCACCGAGGCGCGTCTCATTTCAGAGGCAGCGTCGGCGAGGCGGAGAGTCCCGGGAAACATCGGCCAAGGATGGGTCTGTCTGCGGGGCTGGTGGTCCCAGACCTCGCCGGTGCCGGTCCGTCCCTCCGGACGGGTACAGTAGTACCTGGGTGCAGCAGCAGCTCAGTCAGCATCTCACGTGCGCTGGGGCCTCGCCGTGGCGGTGGTTCCGCTGCTCGTAGCGTGTAATCGGGCGAGACGCTCGCGGCCCTAGGGGGCAGCGCAGGAGCCTCCCTGTGATCCTGGAGGTACTCCAGGCATTCCCTTCGACGGCACTACGAGTACAAACAAAACGCGGGCGGGGTCCACAAATATTACGCGACGCAGGCTTCAGGACGACAAGGCGACCTCCGGCGACCGGCAGATGTCAGCCGACGGAGGCGTATCGAGCGGCGGGCGCCGGAAACAGTGGGCGGCAGTACCTGGAGCCAGCGGCGCCGGGACGGCCGCCGGCGACCTCCGACGGCTGACGGAGCGGCGCTGCGACGGCGGCCGTCCCGGCGCCGGTGACCGTGCACGTCCCACGGTCGCTGTCAGGCCGGCACACGTCGCTCGCGGCGTCGCGGACCCTTGAGCCGGACGGCTGGTGCAGCAATTCACAGACGCGGCTGACTCCGCCACCCCCTCCTCACCAGGACAAGGAGCTCCCAGAGCGGCAGCGAAACCAACAGGTCATTGACGCCAAGTTCCGAGCGAACCTCCACGTGTGAAGGATGGCTGTTGCAGCAAGGAACACCACTTAGTCCAATCTCAGGCTTATGGCAGCCCGGCAAATGAAACGCGCCACCTTGCGCTTCGGTGTCTCTCAGCAGCACCGGAAAGCGGGCGGCGCGGCGACAGATGTTTCCAATCAGAGACTTGCTGGAGCGGTAGCGTTGCCACAGGTGCATCGGCACCTTCCATCGCGTTTTTTTCTGCCATGCGTCGAGTAGCGGAAAACGCGAAAAGCAAACCCATAACCATAAATAACCATGAAGTTTCGCTGAAGGACACTCTGATTACTTCACCACAAACAGAGTTTGCAGTCAATTCGTCAAGTAAGACGTTATGGTATTGCACCACGTCAATCGTCATCATGGGCTCACACCGTCAAAATTGGATCCATTTTCATTATACCAACTGATAATCATGATAAACATGATAATGATTTCCCCGCACGCAGCTAGGACATGGAGGGACGAGTTCCTTAGGACATCTGTAAACATGTGCATCTGAGGGTGTCCGCCACGGATGTTTGAAGGCGCTGGTTGTTCCGATCCCGACAAAAAGTTAATTTCGGTTAAAGTGCATGCTTGAATGTTTACGGGTTACAATCCAGAGTTACTGCCGCTAATTCTGAGGCCAGCAACGGCGCTCCGCTAGCTCCGAGGTACCCTGGGGAGTAAAATATGAGCCGAGTTACCGCCGCTCGGCCTGGCGGCCCAGTCAGCGCCAGGCTAATCAATACAACGGCGCCGTTTGGTGAAGCCGTGCGTGTCAGGAGCGGGCCGATACGTCAGCCGTGCTCGGCGGAGCGGCGTGGCCCGAGGCTGCCGCTGATTGTGAGCCCAGCTCCGGCACTCAATGGGGCCCGGAAGCGGCTCTTCTCGGAAGGTGACACCGCGCGTGGCGTTGGTTTGAACCGCGCCGCCGCCGACGGACGTGGAGGCGAGGCGGCGGGAGCGAGCCGTGCCGGGCCGACGCGACGTGACGTGCGGCACGTCACGTCCCGCCGCCCGCCGACAGAGCGCTCCAACACGGCCGGAGATGGCTGCTAGCGCCGCCGGCCGTGGAGGCGAGGCGGCGGGAGCGAGCCGCACCGGGCCGACGCGGCGTGACGTGCGGCACGTCACGTCCCGCCGCCCGCCGACAGGGCGCTCCAACACGGCCGGAGATGGCCACGAGCGCCGCCGGCCGTGGAGGCGAGGCGGCGGGAGCGAGCCGCGCCGGGCCGACGCGGCGTGACGTGCGGCACGTCACGTCCCGCCGCCCGCCGACAGAGCGCTCCAACACGGCCGGAGATGGCCGCGAGCGCCGCCGGCCTGTCGGATCGGCCCCGACCGACGGCAGGTGGGCGGACGAGCGACAGCGATGGGACAGGGCGCTTGGCGCCGCACAGGCACGGAATACACCGTCCAGCCCGTCGCAGAGCACAGGAGTCAGCCACGGAGCGGATGGGTGACGGCCAAATGCTCCAGACTAGGCTACACAAGATAATGTTGGCTTTGTTTTGGATAAGATATCATAGAGCCCAGTAATACAATCTACAACTTTTAGTGACGGGGTGATCACAACAAGCACGCAATATCGTCAAATATGTGCATATTACAGCCAATCCATCTAATCGTTCTGGCAAATAATCGAAGGAATCAATACCAGAACGTAAGTCGATGCGCATCTGCAACATTAGCTGCATACAGCTGGTAATGTAAAGCTATCCTGCGATTCAAAATAACAAAGGCGGACGCCACTAGCGTTTTAATGCATCATCGTCTGCCAAGTCGTGAATGTGATAATGCTATCAACCAAGTTCGGCTGCACTGCCCAGGAGGCCGCCGGCGCTGGTCAAACCGCAAGCCATAGGGGCTGCTCGACCTAATGCAGACCGTGCCGGACGAGCCGGACAGTCTGAGGTGTGCGGTGAGAGGTGTGCGGTGAGAGGTGCGCGGTGAGAGGTGCGCAGTGAGAGGTGTGCGATGAGACATGAGCGGTGAGAGGTGAGCGGTGAGAGATAAGCGTAAGGCGCGATGGGAGGTTGTGGTGAGGGACGTGCGGTAAGAGATGTGCGGTGAGAGGTGTGCGATGAGAGACATGCAGTTAGGTGCGATGAGAGGTTGCGGTGAGAGATGTGCGGATATGTGCAATGAGAGGTGTGCGATAAGGGATGTGCGGTGATAGATGTGTAGTGAGATGTGGGTGATGTGAGGTATGCGGCGAGATGTGCGGTGAGAGTTGTGAAGTGGGAGGTGTTCGATGAGAGCTGTGCGGTAAGATGTGCGGTGTCTGCTCGACCACACACGGCGTACAATGTACGCTGGGCGGTGCGCACTACGCGGCGGTCCTGTGATGTCTGCGGGGTCAGGTGCGCGGCGCGCCAGCCGCCGAGCTGTCGGACCGACCTGTCGGGCGAGGGCGTCAGCAGCAGGTCGCCGTAGCGCCAGGCGACGGCGGCGCCGGCCGGCGGCCGACAGTGCAGCGTGGCCGGCTCGCCCTCGCGCGCCACTGTGTCCTCCGGCTCACGCGGCAGCCGTAGCTGGGAGGACGTCGCGCCCGCCTCCGTCGCGCCTGCCGGACCGAAACGGAAGGCGTCAGCACACACGCACATGACACGGCAGGTGTAGACACATGGCGCCGGCCGCCTCTCAGAATGCGTCAGACACCACGCGGGCGCGCGGACGTGTTAGAGCAAGGACGCGGTGTGGAAGGCCTCGGGCCTCGCCATCGTTCACGCCTGAACTCCTGCGGGTCACTCACGTTGGCGGCAAAATCATATATTTGGCTTTAGGATCTAGAGTTCACAGGAGCAGACTTCAGCATCAAGAAAAGCAACAGATGGGACAAACAGCTCACCATTCGGACGTGGTCATAGGGTCACACAAATCACCACACATGGACAGCAATATTTCAGTAACCGATCAGCATATACGTTGCTTTGAGAACAAACCCAACTTAAATCAAGTAGACACAGGGCAAAAACCACCTTGACGGCATTTAAAGGGAATGCTCCACATAAAAAACTGAAGCAAGCATCAGATATGATGAAATAAGCTCACTTATAACTATGGATATACGAAGTGGAAAAGGCTATTCCCGGCAACACAATCAGTCTGATAAATAAATATGCTACTCAATGCGTCATTCTTTGATTACATTATCATACCTTGCACAACACTGATTGAGAGCCAATTGGCGGCGTTTTGTCTGGAAATCGTGTCCACTAACGCCACACATGAACGACTTGATAAGCATATTTGTATTGGCCCTGAGCGCCGCACGCAAAATAGAATGCACGACTTGAATGACGTTATGACGTCATGGATGCCTGGGTGTCATCGAAATCGTCCGCACATCTTTGTGGGCGTGTAGCTCACAAACTAAGAGGTTTAGGTGTTAAGGAGTGCAGGGCCGCGAGCAGCACAGAACGATCTTCAAAATGGCTAGTTCAGTTCAAAACCCCACAAAATGTGGAACAGTCTCTTTAAGTTAAATCCACATAGCCCTTGATATATCACTACATAACTCTTCATGAGCTCTAACTTGGGCTCTCAAAAATCACCATATTGATATTGAATAACAATCAATGGATGGATTCAATTGTAAACTGCTCACTGTTCACGGATTCCATCAAAAACACAGCATCATTACTTAAGGCAAAACAAAGACGACACATGAGCGTTTGGCTGACTCCTTTGAATGACGAGAACGAAACAACATGTTTCCTAGTATGACCTTTTGAGGATAGCACTCCTAGGACTCAAAACTTCAATATGTGGCTATAGTTCTGATCTTGGTCGCTGGGTACGTAACTTAATTTCCACTTGGCATGCGTTCCCTGCGTTGGCAACATTTGCAACACGTCAGTCATTTCCTTCAGCGATACGCAACTTCCATCGACCCAATCCATACATAAACGATGAGAATGAGAAAAAGCGGGCGATCCAGACCATCCATCGACGGCGGACTTCGACACTTGGCATGTCTCCCGACCGTTCTTGCGCGTGGCGCCGACGCCCGGGCCGAGAGGGTCCCCTCCCAGGCGACGCCGGCACCGGGCCGATATCCCAGCGGTGGCGGGGCGGCTGCCGGCGGCCGCTGCCAATGACATTACAGGCGGCGGCCCGCTGTTTATGCTGCCGGCCGTATTGACCAGCGGCGGTCGGCGTCGTCCTGCTCATTTCCGCGTGCCGACGCGCGGCGACCACTCGAGCTACTGTGACCGGCCGCCCCTGCGGCGGGGCAGTCGAGCGCCCCCGGGCCGCCGTCGGAGACGAGGCGGCCGCCCGCGCCGCGTGGCAGCGCCGGCGCCCAAACTTCGGTCGGCGGACGGCCGGCCGTGATGGACGGCCGCCGACGTGCGCCCGGCTCGGCACAGCACGCACGGCCGGCATCGCGACCAGGAACGAGTCGTAAAGTTGAGCCGCCGTAAAGTCGGCGCCACCGGCCAGCCGCGACATATGGACCTGGCAGACGCGGCCGGGGCGGAAGGGCGGGGGGGGGGGACACCGCACGCGACAGTCCAGGAGGGACAGACCGAGCGGCACAACAGTCCTGCAGCGGACAGTTCGGAGAGTGAGCCTGAGGTCCGGAACCACAGGTCGGCTCCACGGGAGAGGTGACAAATGCAGTCAGAGGCTCGAGGTCGACCAGCAGCGTGGGGAAATACGAGCTCACTGGAAGAGAGCCGGCCACGAGCCAATCGCAAGCTTGTCCGCGGAGAAGAGCGTCATCTGCGTCATGAAATGTTCGTCCTCAATGACAGCCAACCCATTGCACCGGCTCCACGCTATGCCACAATAATTTGCAGCTTACCTCAGCTGCTGCCATTCAACTTGCGCAAAACCACTCCCAGGTCAGCCAAGTCAACAAAGCATTACGATTTTATTTCAAGATCGGCATGAGCCAGAACAATCACGATAACAGATCAATGAAGACATCGACCAGCCGGCCTTTGTTTTACATGACCGCCTGCCAACCATTAACGTTGGAGGCAACAGTCTGGCTTTCTACTTCTGTCAACCCAGCCTGTCGGTTGTTTCAGAATAACGAGGTTTTGAAGCCGGGATTGTTCTGTCAATCTTTGTTTAACGAGCGGAACATACGGCTGATAGCGCCAGTTGCGACACGGCGCTCAATAGACGCGTCAAGTAGAAGTCGGACTGATTTGCGCCGAGCCTTATAGATAAACTTGAACAAGGCGGGTTGATTGCGCGACTTCCCGCGTGGGTTGATATATTGATTGAGCGCTCCTCTTCGACGCAATCACCGGTGCTGTTTTGTATCGACGGAGACGGGTGCTGCAGGCTCCGTGGACAGCTGGACTGTCTCGGTCACTGGTTCCAGCCCGCTGTACAGCGATGACGCTGTGTAGCGGTGTGGTGACGCTGTACAGGGGTGACGCTGTACAGCGATGACGCTGTGTAGCGGTGTGGTGACGCTATGCAGGGGTGAAGCTGTACGGGGATGAGGCTGTACAGGGGTGACGCTGTACAGGGGTGAAGCTGTACGGGGGTGAAGCTGTACAGGGGTGAAGCTGTACAGGGGTGAAGCTGTACAGGGGTGAAGCTGTACAGGGGTGAAGCTGTACAGGGGTGAAGCTGTACAGGGGTGAAACTGTACAGGGGTGACGCTGTACAGGGGTGACGCTGTACAGCAGTGACGCTGTACAGCGGTGACGTCGTGCAGTGGTGACACCGTACAGCAGTGACGCTGTTCAGGGGTGACGATGTACAGGGGTGACGCTGTACAGGGGTGATGTTGTACAGAGGTCACGCTGTATAGGGGCGACGCTGTACAACAGTGACGCCGTACAGCAGTGACGCTGTGCAGCGGTGACGCTGTGCAGTGACCTGTGTGCCGTCCACGCTCCTTCCTTTAGCCGCGATAGCTTGGGGGACAAGCGTAGAACAAGAGCATCATTAAAATCCAAGGCCGCTTAATTGCATTCCCCTGCCCATACATCCACTTCCAGATGTATGACCCATGTGGTGATAATCGGTGCCTGAGCAGCAGCAGCCGAGCCACGCCCGCACAAACGCATGCTTACCTTTCAGTACCAACTGCCGCCGAAGGCGACACCTCCCAGGAGGGTCGGCATCGACAACACTGTTGAGGATTTGCAAGCTGAGGTACCTGACTGAGTCCGCATCGCGCAGTGCCCGGCTCAAGAAGTGGTTTTAAGGCGACGTAGTGGCATCCTACGATGAGTTAGCAACTAGCATTAGCCTTGGCACATTTGCGCCCATTTGGACGCAAAGGGTAACGTTTGGAAGCCAAGGTTTTTGTCACATACTTTTAACAGCACGTCAACATTTGCCTTTTCAGTCACATTACTTAAAAATGATGGCAATGAAAGCGATTAATTAAAATTGGTAAATCCTGTTCGCCTGTCCCAAATCAATCCTGGCACTGACCTAGGGCAAAGGTGCGCGAGCTCAACAATTGTCATAGCACTTGTTATCGCAACAGACGAGCTGGCTTAAGGCTTGCCAAAGCTGAGACTAATGCCAGCAATGGACCAATCGCCCTTCCACGGTCGGACCGTGGGAACAGCCATCAGCTGGCGGGGCTGGCAGTCAGCGGGCTGTCCAGGCGTCTGCTGCGACGGCAGAGGAGCGCCGCAAAAACGGCCCGCCGCCCCCTCCAACTTCCGTCAGCTGGCTGCTTGCGAGCCGGGCGCAGGGCAGTGTGCTCAGGCCGCGGTGTGGGATCAGGGCTCCCAGGCGGTCGAGAGGGCCTCCGGCGAATGAGCCCACGGCCCAGTGGGCTGGGCTCCCAACACTCCCATCGGATAAGCCCGCGGGCAAGTGCCCATCCCTCTCCTTCCCTCCGCCCGAGTCAACAGCCGCTCGCTCATGGATCCCCCGCACCCCATGCGGTGGCTGGGTCTCACGGGACCGCACCGTCGGCCCACCTTCTGGACAGCCTCCACGCGGCGGCCTGCCCCATAGCGGCGCCACAGGGCCGCGTGCGGCCCGTGCACACCAGAGGCACTGTTTGCCCTGCTTGTGTGCCTAAGACTTCACGGCGCCACCGGCCAGCATCCGGCGTCCAAGCGGCCGCCATCTGTCGCCGCCGCTGCCGCCGGCGAGGGAGGTGGCCGGCGGCGCGCCCCCCAGTCGCCCGGGAGCCCTGCTTCCCCCGGCCCGGCCCAGCGAGGGATCACTGGGGCGGGCCGAGCGCGGTCTGAGCTCCCGCACACACCCGGCGCTCCCGGGGGCCGCGGCGGCGGCCGCCCTCCGCCAGCTGGCCCATTGATCGGGCGCCGGCGTGGTGAGGCGTCACGACCGGCGGGCCATCTCATCAGCACCACGGCCAGTCCGATGAGCGGACGCTCCGAGCCCGGTCGAGACTGCAGCGGATCCCAGGCCGGCCGAGCGGCTGGCACCGTCCGCACCACGGCCAGAGCCGCCCACCACGAACGGCGCTTTCTCCGCGAAAGCCGACGGCGGGGCGAGTCGACGGTGACTTGCCGTGACCACGTGACCTCTCCCCAGCGCGAACCGGTGCGGTGCGCGTCCCATTTGCCGTGCACATCTCCGGTGCACGTTGCAAGCCCGAGGAAAGAT